TTCTCACATCTAAGAATGTATTACTCATTACTGTGCAACTATAACTACACTTTCGTAAAGACTAGTGAAATGTAAATCTTGTTTGAGTTCTGATAAACAAATATATAAAACAATATATAAAACAAATTATATAAAAATATATAAAAAAAAGAAATTATATAAAATATATAAAACAAATTATATAAATCATATTCAAAGTATTTACAATGTTAATTTTTTGACGAAAATTTCTTACCCGAACATTTTTTGAGTATTTACGTCTTTTGAATATTCGTCAATATCAATGAATTAAAATACACGCGCAATTAAATTATACTATCCAGATAAATTTATACCAGTCGGTCGTTGGCTTTATAATGAAACTAAGATAATGAGATCAAAATGAGATCAAAATGAAATTACGATTATATACAATTTTGCAATTTTTAGAAATTAAAAAAAATACGTCATGACGTATATGGTTATGACAGATAACGCGTTTTATTTTTATCGATATGTGAAATATTAGCTTAAGATATATGTATAATATCAAATTTGTTATCAATATCACTATAATATTTGAGTACTGATATTATTAAAATATTGATAATTATAAAATCGAATTTTCAATTTCGTATTTAATGTTAATATTAATATCTCGCCAATTTAAATATACAATCGATTTAATTATAATGATTAATTGTAATGTTAATTATCATTCTAGCCAGATTAAGCGCATCCATTCTGACTTTTTCATTTTAAAAAAGTTCTCAGGTGGATAATTTATGAATTACATGTCATCGTATGCTTCATTCGATGCATCGACAATTGCGTCACCTATATACTATATCGAAAAGAATGCATGTGATAAAAATTATGCTGTGAGAGCGGGATTTTTCTGTCTGAAAGAAATTTTTTAACGATAATTCAATCTCTAGTATCCACCTAACAGTATCCATCAATCGGATTGCATATAATTGTAATAATGTTTACGCAATACGACATAAGTAAACAGATGACAAATTGGAGCGGCATTTTCTACCATTACGATATTAATCCCAAAGAGCAAAAGTAAACTTATAACGTATATGCGCAACTGTTTAAATGGGATCTATGAAAAAAGAAATTTTTAATTGAATAAAATTTTAATTCTGAGGTAATTTTTCAAATTATTCAATAAAAATATATAAAATATAAAAATATATAAAAAGAAGAATTTTAAATTTATATATTTACTCATAAATATAAAATTAGAATTTAATAAATTTTCAAATTTAAAAACCAGATTTTCTCTGTCATGTTTCCTAAGATAAATTATATAAATTCGAAAAGTTTCTTCAATATCCAATACAATTTGCGTCACGCGAATCGCAAAGATCTTAAAAAGTTTCGCGACGTATGCGCAACACGTTTTTCCTATTTCCCTTTTATTTTCCAACCGTCAATCATACTGTCACTTTGTACCTTCTTCGATATTCAGACGGATATAATTGCGGATCGATAAAAAAAATAAATTACTACTCGACAAGGTCGTTTTCATATGGGAACGTCGAAAGAATCCCACGCATAAAAGCCCTTTAAAAATGGCAGAAAAGAATGAAAAAGGATTTTGGAGAGAGATATATATGATTATCGCACCTGTTCCTTTCGAGAAGGACGTTTCGTCTTATCCGTTCTATTCGCCGTTTTTCCTGCTGCTCGTCGACACTGTAACCGATTATCGAAGAAGGCACAACTTTGTCGATCAACGAAGATTCCTGAAGCGCAAAACGAAGCTGCTCTTCACCCGGCGACGGTCGGCGTCGTACTAAAGCGTGCGCGCCACGCGCGATCGCTTTTTCCGCGGAAGCGTATCCGAAGGCCGCGCGATGAATGGCGATTTCACGAGGTAGTTCAGCCGCGAGATATTAATCCTATCATGACGGCACGACCGTCATGGTACGATGCGTTTGCGGCACAACTTTCCTATAATTAGTAATTTCTGCATTCTAGAATCAATCAAAAGGAAATACAGAGATACGATAAAGAAAAAGAGATGATCATACTTTATAGAAGTTATTATAAAGATGTAAATATATTAATTTATAATGATTAATATATATGTTATATATGTTATATGTATTATACATATAACATATATAAATTATATAATTGTTCTTCAATAAACTTAGCGAATTACTTGACAAATAATTATAAATGAAAAATATCTACACGTAAGCATAGATGTATTATCTATTCCGTAATTAATTTTTATCTAAGTTATTAATGATAACGCGACATTTAGAAAGTAACACGTCATTAATATATAGTACTAAATAGTAAAAAAATATTTTTTTTTTCGTTGAGATGTGAAAGAAATATCAAGAGTTGTATTCATCTTGATTACGGTTCATTATTTCTAATTGATGCCGACTAAGCAATTTTGATGATACGTAAGTAAAAAAGAAATTATTGCGATGTATTTCTCTAGACACAATCACATTTCTGCCGAGTTATAATGTTACATTGCGACTATCTTTTTTTGCATAACATTTATACGTATTGGTTGTTTCTTATCGATTTAAGCTAGCCATATACGACATCGATAAAAAGATAGCCGAGACAAACGGTGTTAAAAGTTAAATAGCATCATCCTTACACAGCGCCCCATTTTTTTCTGTAACCTAGAAGAAAAGTTGCACTTCAGTATAACTTTGATTTTCAATATTGAATTTCTCTGTAATTAAATTTGTGAATTAATTATTATCTTATTAAAACGAATCAAAAATAATTAATGAAATTGCGATAATTATTTACATTCCTAAATATTTTTTTAATCAAAGTTAGTTTCTGAATATCAAAAGTATACTTATATAATATGAAATTATATTGATAAAAATATACATAATGTCAAATCATATTGTTATACTGATATAATAATTAAAACGTAAAAGAGATATATGAAAGATAAGAGCTTGCGATTCTTTTTTTCGCAACAAAAAAATATTCTTTTATATCATAAACCTTTAGTAAACATCTTAAAGTAAACTTTTATAGTTAATTTTATAAGTAAATTTTTTACAATTAATATAAATTAAATTTAATTGTAATATAATTATGTTAATGAATTACAATTTTATTCTATAACAGAAAAAATAGGTGACATATGCATAAACAAAATTTGTTACATATATATATATATATATATATATATATAATTTTATATAAAATAAGATTTATATGATAAGATTTATATGATATTATTATAATACTTTTTATATGATAAAAATAAATAAAAGTAAATAAAAACTGTGAATTGAAATTATATAAAAATATATATAAATATATATTAATATAAGTTTCAGAAAGATTAATAAAATAACTTTCTTCGGATGTAAATCAAGCAAATATATTAAGATATTTTCATTCCATCATGCTTTCAAGTATATTCGATCACACAAAGTTATTAAATTAGCACAATGTTTAAGTATATCTTCTATTAACGAACAAATTAACCAAATTATGGGATTAAAAAAAGATGCCTGAAAAAGAGAGAAAAAAAGTACATCGTCACTGTGGTCATTATTACAGTTACAGCAAACATATTATTCTAACTAATAACATAAATGGAAATATAATTTGAAGTGCTAGTCAAATCAATTTGTAGTGCTAGTTTTGTTTATGAAACAAGTTTTCAATATAGCATTTTTTAATTATCGAACATTTCAATCATAAAATTACTACCATGATTCCATGATGATTCTTATGTTACGTGATAAATATGATATGGCATTAAAACATCGATTTTTGTTTATGAACAACGCCGATAAACCTGAACAATTTAAACAACATCAAGCCAAATTAAATCGAAATAATTTACGTAAAATCTGTAATAACTTGATAACTTTTATCGTAGAAATTTAATAATCACTGATCGCGAAAATATCTAAAAAAAAAAATTTAATTTATTAATTTTTCCTTCTTACACGAGCTATAAATAAAAAATAAAACCGAATATTTTTTCGTGCGTAATTTCTAACAACCATTATTTAGTTGCTAATTTAATCAATCAATTTATTAAATCAAACAGATTTTTTTCTTGTAATATGTACTTGTATTAACTTGAATCTTATTCTGTGCTCTCTAATTACGTAATAAGATATATTTAATTTTATATATGTATAAATAATGCTTATGAATGCAAAGTCGTTTTTGCTGTCGTAATGAATTATTTCCAGATAATATGAAAAATGATGTAACATAACTAAAACTGTCATATGGAAGAGCCGTTTATATTCCGAAATTAGAACAACTGCACATATATACATATATACATATTCAACGCGCGCGCAGTAAAATATTCAATTACTATCTAGCAGATATATATCTTGATTCGCTATTCCTGATTCTGATGTGCTTAAATTAAATTTCTTTTAAATGTGTTACAGACACTTCTTATTTATAATTTATTGCAAATAATAATGAGCGGAAATTTTACAATAACTGATTGTTAAAATAATATTCAATATCAAGTAGCAAAAACTAAAAATACAATTTATATAATACATAGTTCAGTTAAAAGCATGATGAGATCAATCCTATCGAATTTCTCATGGAATCGAATTATATGAGGAATCGGGTTACCTTAGCTTAAAGAAAAAAAGAAAAAAACTCATTCGCTTAATATTCTATTTCCCCTCCTCTTAAAAAAACGCGCGAATACATATTACTCAATATAAAATTTATAATTACAGAGCAAAAAACATCACAAGATTAATTAATACTACAAGGTTTATGATTTTATTGTATTGTCCATTTGTGCTTTCTTTTATAATTTGTATATATAACAATTTTTTATTTTTCTTTACATGATCACTTCTATGAGTTAGTTCTGCTAATAAGCTACTAGTTAATAATATCAATTTTACTAATTATTAATTATTAATTATGCAAGTTATATCGTAGCATTTGACCTACCGACTAGTGAAACAATACCATATACTTAACGATATATTAAAAGATTTATTATAAAACATAATTACCTGATCTATCCAGCATGTCGCGTCATTGCGTCTAATCCGGATTGCAGACTCTGATCCGATACGTCGCGCGGGGATTCCGTTGGACATTCGTGCCGCAAACATCTTCGATGCGATTGCCAGATTGAGGGAGGTATTCGCATATCATGATGATAAAGAACCGTGAATCACTCGCGAGACGAGGGTCGCAATATTCACCTGGTGAACGCGCGTGGTCGCGATTACCCGCACGCGGTAGCGGCAGCGGCGGTCAAGGTAAGATCAAAGTAATCTCTCTTTCTCTCTGAATCCTCTCGCGAGATCATACGACGAACCTTGTTTTCGCTCTCGGGGAGAGAATGTACAACGAGAGCGTTTAAATTCCGAGACCGTCGTCGCCGACACACCTCGCCCCGGCCATCGATTTTCCGCTGCGGATTTTACGCGCGTCTCACCCCCAATGTGTAAATACATACTACCGAATGCGGCTTGAATATAGCCGCAAGCGCCGCATCGCCGCACGTCATCAGTTGGGTCTCCGCGCGCCCAGCCACATCTATCGGTGGAATTTGCTACTTCTTGCTCAAATCTGTTTTACCCATCTAACCTAATTCACGTGGGTAAAACAGAATTTTCACGATCTCGCAGATTCGCACAGTATACGACAATTTATATTCCTCGAGTTGTCTTCTGAATTCGATCGAGTGTTTTTCTCTTACGCTTGTTCGAGAAAAGTTGTTGGAATAGTATTGTCTTGATAAATTGATTATATACTCATTTGGAATATGCGAAATGTCATTGATATTCGATCAATTTTATGGAAAGAGTAAACATGTATATCAACTTGGTGCATAAATATTTGGACTAAGATATGCAAGTTTATATTTATACACGAGTGTTTTTATACGAGTTTTCATATTTATTCAACTAGGTAAGAAGATTAATCTTGATTTCATGTTTTTCTCAAAATAAACATTCGAGCCAGCGATATTTCGATTAATGGTCCGGCGCGTATCTTTGTTGTATATAATTTATATCCGGAAGCTTTTCTACGAGAGTACAATTGACGATCCATGTATCGGAACTATCCGACTTGACAAAAATATTTTCCGGCATTCCGATGTCTCGACAAACCGGATTTAAAGGGACGCTTTGAAATTTTACCTGATCCCTTCATTGCTCATCCGGTGTCTAACGTAGAACGCAGACGGCACTGGAACGCAGGTGCATCCCCGTTGTATCTATACAGGTAGAATATTTTCGAAGATCACCTCTGGCGAACAAGCATAAAGAAGTAACACCTGCCGCGCAGTACAGTCTGCGAAGTCTACGGATGCTAATTATTTATATATCTTGGAAAAGATTTCTAAAGAAAAGATATAAGCTTTGACAAGACGAATTGATTTGAAAAATTGAAATTTTAAATTCTTGTAATTTTCTGTAATTTTCATCTTGATTTTTACTTCAATAACTTATCGCGACAAAATTATAAGAAAAGTTATCGATTTAGACCGTTACATGTTATATATATATATATATATATATATATATATATATATATATATATTACTAAATAATTTTTCTTTTTCTATGCGCGATTATAGGTGCAAGTAACCAGCGAAGGAAACGACTTTTCTTTTATCGAGGAAATCGATGAAAATTACGTGTACCGTGCTTCTACTTACATGCTAATGTTCTCTCGTTCGTTGAGAGATCAGTGTTTTTCGCTGAAAACTCAGACGACCGGAAAGTCTCATGGGAAACTCTACGATTAACTCCGAGTTAGCTGTAAATACCGAGGTCGCATGTTAAACTCGTACTGGAAAAGAGAGCTAAAACATTCATCATCAGATAATCCTATGCAAGAATAAGTAATTAAAAACAATTAGTTACACCTTTTGAAATACTTTTAATCAGATCTTTAATCTCTTGGAATCAGATATTATCAAAAGCAACTTTATCATATAAATTCATATTGATTTCTTTTAATTTTTAATTGTGTTCGTTTTGAAAAACGCTTTAATAAATAGATTGGAACAAACGATGATTTATATTTCAAAATTCGTATTTTCAAGATAAAAATTAATTATTAATATAACGTAACGGAACATATTTATTAGTATTGATCTTTTCAACGTCGCTATTAAGCCGAGGCCCTACGTGTCGACCTCTGGTCTCGCAACCTCCCACGACTTCGGAACTTTCGCTTCAACCCTTTCCCTTTGCTCCTTGAACGAGCCAATCGGAAGATCGTTGCATGTTCCCGCGTCAGGGTCTTACTGGACCCGGTATCGTCTACAATCACTTCAGGTTCCACGAGCAGCTGTCATATTGTTAGTATGCGATTTTGACGCGAATTACACACATATCGGGACGCATAAGAATCGATAAAAATTAAAATATTGGCTCAATAATTCATGCAGATTTATGAAAGAATCGATATTTATAAATTTACGACAAATAATTCCTTTAACAAACAAGATTTAACAACTAATTCTGATGTGATTTCCAGATATTCGGAAGAATACGGCCATAATTAAAAGGATTAGGAGTGAAGACAAAAAAATGTCTATTATCATTGTTGAAATATCAATGGAAAATAATTTGGATATGAAATCTATAAAGATATGTGATAATATATAATAAAATTGTAAAAATAATCGCATGATGATACTTGCCATAAATATTAAGAGCGAAAAAATGAAGAAGGGAAAAAAGATACAAAAATTTAATTTCAATTTTAAACGCAACAAAAAGAGATATTACGACGAATAATACATCTACGAGTTTCACTGGACTTTGTCGCTCCAGTTGAGTGAATACGGCACTGGGCATCCCGTGAAATGCGGCCCAGCGGCGAGAAAAACGGGGACCCGGCCTGAGCGAGCGAAAGCATCACTGGGCATTACCAGTCCGGAGTATACGGCAGTCGTCTCGTGGCGATCGGTAAGGAGTCTCTTGAGACTCGTAGACATAGAACGACGCGATGATTAGATCTGGAGGCTAGGCATCTAAAACTTAGGCTCGGACGGTGCATAATTGGCGGCGACTGACAATGTGGAATGCGCGCTTTCTGAGAGATTACGAATCTGGAGGCGAAAGGAAGCACAGGCGGAAAGCCAGGTGAGATGACGACGGCCACGAGTCGAGGACACGTCGCGAGTTAGCGGGCTTCCCGCCATCTACTACTCTCGGCGCCGCCAGAATGACAGCTACGTGGAATTGAACAATTTGCGTCTCTCGAAGTCAGAGTGGCACGTTCGAGTCGATTGACAAGACAAGGTGTGTTTGTTCTTTTCGCAAGCCAAGGCGAAATATTTGTGACATGTGATAATGCTGATAAAAAAATTTATATCAAATTGAATCTCACATTTTTGTGCGATCGACAATATATCAAAGCAGAGATGAAGAAAAATATGATAAGAAATTTTTTCTAATAGACGATAATTGATTTAATTTCTTTTCTTCTAGTACATACTGGGGAGAAGAATATTTCTTTAAACAGAAAACATAATATAATTCATGCTTTACGGAGATGTATGATATACTTCGAGAAGAAGAAAAGAAAACATTGAAGAGAAGAAAAAAAGAAAGAAGCGTGTGAATGTTACGAGAAGAGAATTGATATAAAATCTGTGCTTCGCGTCTGAACCTACTGAAGCGAAGGGCACCGAAGTCGGAGAGAGACGCGAAGGGGACGCGTAATAGAGAGGAATCGGTGTTACTCATGGCATTGCGCCGGGGATTAGTGTACGAGAGACTGGTATGTCGATTGTAAGCAGCATAGGCTTAAGTTGAACGTGAAGGCCGTGATTGTGCGACTGTGACAGTAGTGACGCTGACGCATGTATGAATTATACGATATCGTAAGACGATAGTAGATTCAAAAATGAATAATTTTTAAAATATATAGGGTAAATGCATTTACACCAAATACATCGTTTCATTGCTTGCGATAAACAGTGAATGATATCCAAGACAGATGACAATTTTGTTCGAATTTGTACGATAAATTCAACTCCGAAATAATAATGTAATTTTATATCATTTTTCCTAATGTAATTTTATATCATTTTTCTGACGTGTGAATAGTGAAAGATAATTCTCATAATTCGTAGAATATGAATGTGATGGTGTAATCCCGCGTAACTGTGCAAAAGGGAGTAGTGTCAGTTTTCTTCATCTCTAATCATTGGGCAAAATTACCTATATAATTGTTTCTCTACCTTTCCTGGATCACGGGACTATCTGTACCGCGGATGAAAGTTAATGTTAGCTAACTGACGCTGAGGAAACTGGACATAACTGAGTCATAATGGATCTTGTTAAACTAGGATTACGGAAGATCGGGAAGAATCCTTCGTGAGAGTTCTCTCAGTTCGCAAACACGCAACAGTTAGGCGCCGCTGGCAGGTGCACTTGGAACAAGAAGCGCGCGAAAGAAGACGAGAAGGCAAGGAGAAGGCCAAAGAGACGAAGAAGAAGAACCCAGAAAATCAGCCGTCGAGAGAGTAGCGCGCGTGTAGGGCCCCCTACGGCGATAAGGCGAGGCCCGGAAGACGTGGAGGGAACGACGTATGTATCGCGCGGGGCCGGTTGCGCGGACCGGGCCCGCCGTCGTTCGTGAGAGACCGCGCGCTGACCCAGATTTTGGCGGGTCGAACCGGCGCGAAGAGACTGCGACGGACTTTCTGAAATGGGACACGGCGCAGCCTGGAGCTAAATTAGCCGCGATGTCCAATAAGAGTAAGTCCCAGCCGCAGCAGCAGCAGCAACAGCCGCAACACCAGCAGCAGCAGCAGCAGCATCATCCTCCGCACGTGATCAAGCCAGTGGACCAGCTGCCGCCGCGCTATCAACCCCCGCCGCAACCCACCAGCGGCATCCTGAAGAATCATCTTCACTTCGCCAGCGGAGTTACGTCGGCGCCGAATTCGGCCCAGGCCGGCAACAGTCAAGGTCCGGGCGCGGCCTTGAACCATCATCAGAGCACGCAGCCACGCACGTTGCCGCCGCCATCGACCTTGCAGCATCATCCGCAACAGCAGCAGCATCAACCACAACAATTGACGCAATCACAACAGCAAGTACAGCAACAAGCGCCGAAAGATGCGCAAAGTAAGTACTCACCGAGGATAGAACATCATCATCATTCGCAACCGGGTAACGCGTTAATTACTGCTACGTCGGTCGCATCGTCTAAAAGTCAACAACAGCAGTTGCCAAACTACTTTCAACAAGCTAAGATCAATCAAGGTTCATACTTGCCACCTAGTAGCCAATACCCGGCAGTGAACAGTGGCCAGAGTGCGTCTATTAGGCAGAGGATCAGCGACGACGAATTTCTGCGACTCGGCCCTGTGGAGATGCTCAAGTTCGTACGGAAGACCGAGAGTGACATAGCTAGGCTTGCCGCCGAGCAGAATCGCCAGATACAGAGCTTGGTAAGTTTTTTTGCCAATTTTCTAGTAGTGTAAATGACTGAATTAATCAAATAAATAGTAAAATTAATGAATCGTGCTAGATTAAAAATACAATTTAATTTGATTAAAAAATCTATTATAAAAATATAATTCGATAAAAATAGATAACACAAGATAAATAATTATTTATTTCATTTGTTTTATTCTTATTTCAGAGAACCTCATTTTAATTATTAACATCTTTAGATTTCCGTCTTTTCAATGAACTGAAATCGAATGAAATAAATGCAGTTCTATTAACTTTGTAGACAACTGGTTATACAAGTAAATCTTTTCGACTTTTTTTAGAGTATCATATTATAATTAAAATCGCGATATATATACCGTAACATTTCATTATATTTTCCGGATGCGAAATGTGGTTCGCTGACCTTGAAATCTTAACGCGTCGCATGGAAGTTTTTGAGAAGCTGTTGTAGGTCATGCAGATTGAAGCAACTGTTGTAATTTCAAGCAGTCACGCATATGTGAGATAAGTCGCAAATAATCGCGAGGACAATCGGTTTCCTTTAGTCGACAAAATGCTGACTTTATTGAAACTGCGTAATCGGAATTGGTCACGCGTTGCTCGTGCACGTGATGAAAGACTTTTCTTTGACACAATCGATGTATACCGCAATACGAATACGTCATTCGCGAGATCAATGACTCCGTTATTTTTTCTCGCAATGCAAACACATTGACTAATAAAGCAAAAGATATTTGATTGAGTAAAAGGTGTAACAGTATTACGTGATCAAAACATACTTTGTATATATATATATATATATATATATATATATATATATATATATTAATATAATAAATATAATAATAGAGATATAATAGATATAATACAGATATAATAGATATATAAAAAATATAACATAGATATATAAAAAAATAAAAAATATAGAGAACTTGTAATTGTATTCAATAATTCAAAATGATCTATGCTCTGACTTTATCTATACATTTTTATGCAGTTTGAAGTCGTTCTTAACAAATGGAAATATTGCAATAAAATTCCTGTATGCTTGAATTTATGTAAAGATATTTGTTTACTCACACATTGTTCGTGAAAATATAAAATTTTACCAGCGAATCGAAAATCCTAACTTTAAGACATATAAAGCAAGTGGCTTGATAATGTTATCTACTTTCCAGTTGAACGAGCTGCGGGCGCTCAAGGAGGCCAACCAAAGACTGAATGACGATAATCAGGAGCTACGCGATCTCTGTTGCTTTTTAGACGACGATCGACAAAAGGGTCGTAAGCTAGCGAGAGAGTGGCAAAGATTCGGCCGATACACAGTGAGCGTTATGCGACAAGAGGTTTCGGCCTATCAGAACAAGTTGCGTCAGTTGGATAACAAGCAGCAAGAGCTGATTAAAGACAATCTGGAGCTCAAGGAGTTGTGCTTGTATCTTGATGAAGAACGCGGTGGCGGTCAAAGGGATGACGGCGATGGATCGAGTTCGAGCACAAACGCCGAGGAAACCACGTTACCGAGGCCAAGGCAAACTTCCACATTTAACGGTAAATCTAAAAAGAAATAACTGACCTTTCTCGTAAATAAGCAAAAATTATTTTTTTTAATGTGAAAGTCTATGTTCAAATAGAAAACATAATAATTCAGATAAACATATACATTGCAATTATAGTTTCTATAAAATTATATATATTCTAAGAAAAAGAAAATCATTAATTTTGCACAATATCTATTTAACATTATAAATATACATTTTATGAGCAAGTGAAACTTGAATATATTTATATGCAATATATATATATATATATATATATATATATATATATATATCAAATAATATATTTTGTACGTACAGTATTGTGATATGCGAAAAGTATAATTCGACGAGTTTCTTACATCCCAGAGTGATTGCAAACTTTATGAATTTCTTGCAGATCAAACGATGCAATATGTAAGGAGTTTAGAGCAACGGGTGAAACAATTAGAAGAAGACAAAAGCATTCTCCAAGCTCGTGCTCAAGGTTGGGAAGTACCACCAGGTGAAGTTTGGGATAGTTCCGCGAGCCCGAACGACAATACTCATGGTTTAGGAAGTCGCCCAGAGGCTGTAGTGCGCGCTCTTCAGGTTCTTGAAGTCAGAGAACAACTGGAAAGAGAAGAAGGTCATGATGGAGAGAAAGCGCTAGTTAGAGAAATGTGTAATGTAAGTAAATATCATAGTAAATATCATAGTCATTCTCCGATTAACGCGTAACTTTTAAGATATAATCTTTAGTTTTATATTTGTAGAAAAAAAAATTTTTTAAAATATGAAGAATTAAAATAGAGATCTCTTTTTTAAAATCTAATTATTTTGTATAATTTCTTAGAATTTTTGTTCAAAAGAATTTTCCGGGTATTGCTTCTGGATATTTATGATTAATCGTCTTTACTTTTCAGGTTGTCTGGCGAAAATTGGAAGAGGGTCCGCAAGCGAGGCACTAACGATCGTATCGGAAAGACGATTGTTTGTCAATTCGAATATTATTAATACAAAGCGATAAGATCTAACATACGTCCGAGACGTAACATTAGTATTATAGTGAGTAAATATTTTACAAATATTTTATGTATAGACTTTTTTGTATGTGTATGTACAATTATTTCAATGTGAGAATACCGAAAATATCTATATATTTATACAAATGTAACATCGTTAGCTTGTCCAGATTGACTGTTTTAACAAAGTATTTTTATTATATAATGTTTATGATTCACTCTCTCTTATTCCCTACCCCCCTTCCTCTTCTTCATCGAAAAAATATAATCATATTATTCTTTTTATATACAAATTTACATATATAAATTCTCTTTTATTTTAAACAAACATTGCAAAGAAATGCCCTAATATTTCAATTATAGAGAACAAAATTTTTGTTTTTTCGAAATTAAATTTACAGCATTTTTGAAATATCTGATTTATGCGTAATATTGAATCGTTAGGATTAAAGATATCGATGAAGTCAATTTAGCATCTGTCTTTTTTACATTCGCCGACTAATTATCTGCCGCGTTACCTTAAAAATGCTTTTCATGAAAAGACATCCCCTTGACAGAATTTAATACGCAAGTTGAATACGCAAGAGCGAATGTTTGTATATTTCTATTTTTATCTCGTCAAAGGATTTGCCCTCTCAAATGGTACTGGCGGTGGAGATTGCCCCACATACATTCTGGCTTTTTACTACCCCGCTCCATACCGCCACGTCAATGCAAGGCAATTAGGATATCCTTCAATCTAACTCCGATCAATTTTATTGCCTTGCTTAGTATAGCTTACCGCGTAAAACCATTTGAAAATTAGAATCTGTACATAATTCGTCAAAGAGATGCTGCTATATATTTTGATTTGATTAAATGAGTGAATGAAAATATTTTATATTATTAAGGGAAAGTCGAATTGTCTAATAATATCGACTATTTTTTTCTCATCTTTATCAAGTGCATTACCTATATATATATGTACATTTTGAAGAGGAGATTCTCTCTCAGATTGTGCTTACTGCTCTCACACATCCTTGCATTTATTTGTAAATTCTCGGCCGCTGAGCTTGCGCCACCCGCTTCGGACGAAGAATAGCAGTGGGGATCGCGTGCAGCAGCCGCCGGCTGTCGGAAAGATGAGAGTCGCCGGTGATGTGCTTGTGCGGAGGCCTCGCGGAGGACAACGCCAGGATCATCCTCCTTGCCGTTGTCCTGGCAGCGTATATGCTCGCAGGCGCGGCTATTTTCCAAGAGCTAGAGAGTGATCTTGAGATACGGCAGGTACAGAATTGTCATGTCGCACGTGAATCTGCGGAAAAAATTATTACTTGCTCATTGCAATAATTTTTATGAGGAACAATCACAAGTTGAAAAAATGCGTATCTCTTATTTTTTTACATGAAAAGATGTTGACACGAGCGTTTTTTTTTTCTTTTTGCAAATATGCTTATTATTGGCGATTTAAGGAGACTTTTAATATTCATACTAGACGTGAATCAATGAGTTGTGTGTGTATTTTTATAACACGTGATCAATGTATGGAGATATATTTTTAATATGAGATTTATGATGAATCATTCGTTTATAATTTTTCTATCGATATTTTTGGGGGACGCCGGAGTACAGGCCGCAGAATTTTGGCGGATATATCACGCTTTTCGAAGGCACCACTTGCGAGGTAGTCCTTTAGCCCTGCAGAGATTGCACGAGCTGCTGTACGCTTATGGCAACGCTTCTGCTACCGGAATCATCAACAAGAGACGTCGCTGGGACTTTCCTGGCAGCTTTCACTTCGTAGGAACCATAGTCTCTACGATAGGTAAGAAATGTGACATGTATAATATATCGTGTTTAGAATACTATCCACTAGTCATCCGCATCCACGTCGTGGCCGGGATATCGGGGTCAGTAGGATTCGTATCGCGTGTTGTACGCTTTATAATTCTTTTGGTTCTCTGTTCTCGAGAAATCGTATAAAAAGTCTTTTGTAATGAGAACGATCTATTTCAGCGATTTAATTTCACATTCTAGACCTGAACATCTGTAAAAACAAAGTTTTTTTATATTAGAATTATTATTATTAACGCGCACAATATTTTTAATTGCTTCGCTTATAATATAAAAATATTGTATTTCAAATTGCAATATTTTTAAATTAAATTTAAAAGTTTCAATTAAATTTAAGTTCTTCGAGTGTAAAGATGACCAGCGATGAAATATAAATATTTATATAAGATAAAGAAAAATTGTCGAGATGATCGCATTCTTCAGTAAAACTCTTAGTAATGATGTTAAATAAAGAGATAAGGGTCGTCGGCCGGTGCATGCATGAGAATGTACTCCGGTGAATTCCGGAATGCTAATATCTCGCGACCTAGTCTCACACTTATCTCCACAAGCTGGTTGTCCCTTGGTCGTTCCAATCTCTCTATATATATCCACACACGTCTCTAATACCATTTCTGAAATGAAAGAAGCTGATGATACTGAAGTACTTTTGCAGGGTACGGAAGCACCGCGCCCCAGACAACAGCTGGCAAAGCGGTAGTCGTTCTTTATGGTTTCTTCGGTTGTTCCGGTAATAATAAAAATATTAAGTAATGAAAATATTTAAAAAATCAAATATTCAAAAAATCTTAATCAACAAATCATAATTATTAAAGAAATAATCTCTTATCCTAACATTAAAATAAGACTTTTTAAAAATATCCTCTATTCTACGAAAAATATAGATTTTTGGAAATTTGAGTGCTATTTAATTAAATGAATTATTATTTAATGATTAATTAATTAATAATTTAGGTGGCATCCTGTTCTTCAATCTCTTCCTGGAAAGAATCATCACTTTTTTGGCGTGGATTTTACGCAGCTGGCACATACATCGGTTGAGGAGACGTCTTCGCAAGACTACATTAGCGTCTCGACGGGTTTCTAAGTCAGCGAACACTCGAAAAAGATCATCTTTACCAGACATTCTTGACGACGACGACCACGTGGATTTGGACCAATGGAAACCGAGCGTATACGGGGTCATGCTCTACTTGTCCGCGGTTTCCTGCATCATCGCCTGTTGCGCTGCCGCACTCTATGCATCGCTGGAGGGTTGGGATTACTTTGACGCGTTGTACTTTGCTTTCATCAGCTTCACCACCATCGGGTTTGGCGACTTCGTTAGTACGCAAAAACCGAGTTATCCTCACGTACATTGGTATGTTGCAAAAGTTTCTCATCGAATTAGTGAGATTAAATTTGCATGAATTTATCCATGGCGCTCAGTTAAAATTTTGCAAAATATTAAGTAAAATTTTTCCTAATAAAAATTTAAAGATATTAATAATTCTTGAAAATCGTAAGCTCTATTAAATATAAAAAGCTTTCTGCGAATAACATTCTAAACGTTCGCAAACAGGTTTTATTCCTTTTGTTTACATAGGTATAGATTTGCGAACTTCATCTTTCTAGTGGTGGGATGTTGTTGTATATACTCCCTGTTGAATGTCACGTCGATCGTGATAAAGCAAGGTCTGAATTATGTGATACACAAGCTGCAATATGGTAATCGGGACATGGCGGCACCGTATCTGCCGAGACGACAGTCTTCGATATCGACTATATATTATTCGAAGAGGAGGCCGACGAGATTCGTTGGTAGGGATTCGATCAGGGCAGAGGATAACTCGGAGACGCCTCGCAGGATGTCCGGTGAATTGATCTCCATGAAAGATTTCTTGTCTGCCAATAAAGTCTCTTTAGCTGTTATGCAAAAACAGCTTTATGACGCCGCGCAAAAACAGAGAGGCGGCGGATCACTTGCCGCTACACCAAATCATCAGATGCTGAAACCCGGTGCGGTAGGTCCACTCGCAATCGCCAGTGAAAAATTTGAAAGTAAAAACACAATAAATAGATAGGAATAATCATGGCAAAAAAGTAGTAACTATATAAGAATATAACACATATATGTAAAAGATGTCTTATATAAGATAGATAGACTTATTCTATCGTATTTCTTTTTAAAGAAACTCATGTTTTAATAAGGAGTATGAGTACAGAATCGATTTATATCCAATCTATATATAAGACATCCTGACATATATATCATAGAACATACCTGTATTGAATATATTTTTCACGATGCAAGCAATTTTGATAATTTTGAGCGCAATGATAATCCGTCGATAGCAAAATATAACAAAATTAAAAAATAATTAGTCACTTTATAATATTCCAATATTAAATTAAAAATATAAAAAATTCTGATAAGAAACTTGTCGATATCAAGTATTTGCTAATGCCTGAAAATTATTAATATATAAATTAATTTTGGAATTTTTTTTGATATTCCGAATATTTGTTCCAATAATTTTTTTACATTCAATCTTACGGTGTCTTACTTCAATTTTACGGTGTCGCAGAGTTCATAGATGTTAACGTAATTATAATAAACGATTCGTCATATCGCTCATCGAATAACTTTATTTAAGTCATGTTTACAGTACAGTCCTCCATGTACTCAACGACATCGACAAACATACAATCTTCTGTCTCTTTGTAATTGCGATAATGTATGTCGTGTGTATACACCGTGTGTAAAATAAAATTTAACGTTGTTTCTCATGGATAAATTTTTCCGAGTGTGAAAATCGTTCGTGCGAGTTTTATTTGCGACATACATCAACCAAATAGGTTTACCACAGGATGTATGAAAAGACACAATTATCCGAACTCAGACGTTGCGGAATACACAATCTTGAACAATCGTTAGAAATTTCTGTAGTGTGCTTACGTGTGCGTAACGCGTGGCCAGGTATACACAGCTTAAAATACACGTACGTTACTTCTGTTGCTCGTAAAATCACGAGGACGAAGATTTCCTTGGCTACGTAACTACAGTACCGTGCGTTGATTTAAACCAGACATCTCGAGCCGGCCATTCTCAAACAGGCTCTCAGACTGTGACGCTAGATTCATATGTGGATGAGATTGGCGAATACGAAATGATTACGTGAAAATAGTATGTTCCGGTGAAGAGATCTAAAGGCATTTTACTTATACATTATTCTAAAATGAGAATGTGGATGTAATACGACGAAATCTTGGAATTACGAGAGAGAGAAAGAGCAAAAGTGAAATGGACGATTTCTTGCAGAGTTTTTCAGAGTTCTTGCAAGTTTTCACGTAATCTACAGACAATCGCACGCCGTTAATGAAGCCAAATACGTTGCGAACAATGATTTTTAATATTATTCGTCCGCACAATCACCATCGTACGGAACAAAATCACGCTGATCTAAGACGCAGTGGTCTCGTCCGCTGCCAAATTTAAGCCGGGCTTAAACATTTTCTTAAACTTGACGCTTAAATTTGGTCCATCTAATTCACACTCGAATCACATCGGATTTTATAAGCTTGGTATAAGATTTTAAAAGTAAAACTACCAGGCCTAGTGTAAAGGACGTGTCGATAGTACCAGGACTTGTTCTACCTTTTTTTTCTCTTTTTTTTCCTTATGATATTTTTAATATTTCAAGAAGAAATCTCTCAACAATTGTGTGAGACTACAATGTTCTCCATCGCAAGTACACTCGAGCCTCATTGGTTTCCAGTCAACGTTTTTAGGCAGTTTTTTTTCCGAGAGGCTCGGTATTCTTAAAACTGCGTGCTCTTTCCAACAAATCTGCTATTTATCATCCACGTTACCGTCGTCAATGTCAACCGACTAACGTACAACCAACAAAACAGCGCCGAGTGTTTCGCACCGGCGCCAACAAAGCCCAAAATATTTTCGGGCGACATGCCTCGCCGCTTCATCATCGGGCAACAACGATCCCGATTTGGGAACGGCGGCAAAAAAAACAGCCTACCTCGGCTGCATACAAAGATCGCGAGATTCATATCTCGATAAATTGGCGACGCTCATCCTCGTATCGAGGATGCCGCGCTTCTCCTCAACGTATGTCGCGCATACGCACAAATTGCTGGCCAACCATTTCCAGACCACTATTGCCTATCAGATCAACGTCGTTCGTGATTTTGATTATTTTTTGCTTGAGAAAATCTCCGTTTACGTCACATCCTTGTATGTAATCAGATATTACAAAGTTGTTATCGTTCAGCGCGGGTGGTTGATTTTGATTTTGCGGTGGCCGGTTCCGCGATCGCGGTATTTGATCCGCCGGCTCCATTAAATGGGCATGTTTCTTGCGTTGATGTTGCAAGAGTTTCGCCTTGAATTATAAGTTATATATTCTAACTTTTTCCCAATTTTATCATTTAGCAAATATACAATCAAATATCATACAAGAAACTCACCTTGCTGGCATACTGTTTGTGACACCACTGACAACCTTGAGGGCTAGTTGTAACACTGCCCACTGTTTGGCTAAAACTCGGATTCGGCAGTCCCGAAAATTCCGATTCCTTTTGTCGATTACTAGGTGGCAAGGCCGCACCTGGATGATTCTTCATAATATGCGCCTTACGCTTACTGCTACTTTTATAAACCTTAAAAAAAATATGTTATATATATATGAAAATATAATTTCATTTTTGAAAAACTGTGAAAATACGAATTGATTGTGTAATTAAACCTTGTCGCAATACTGGCAGTAATAATCTCTGGTTTGCCGCAGAATAGGCAAGTTCAATTCTGGCACAGATTCTGGTGCGACGTCAGGATGCCGTTTTGCTAGATGATTTACCAGCATTCCCCTTCGTTTGAAACCCACCAGGCATTGATGACATTTGTAAATAAAGCGATTGTAATCATTCGGATTTACCTATTAATCAAAGAATTATATAAATAAATAATAAAGCAAACTATACATACATTATCACATACACACATTAATTTTTACTTCAATATACCTTTGGCACAAATTTCTTCGCTTGATTGTTCTGTATCGTTTGGTCTCCATTAACTGTTTGAGAGTGATGTATTTTAGTCATATGCTCCTTCAATTTGTCTTTTCTCTTGAATCGCTTACCACAATTGGCACAATGGAATTCTCTGTGCAAATAAAAATTAATTAGATTAATTAGAAATTTAATTCATTTCATTAATGCTAATTTATGTAATTGATGTAATGAAAAGAAGTATAGAGATGCTATACCTATGATCAGAATGTTTCAGTAAATGCATTCGTAATTTATCAACTGTCGGAAAACGTTTTGCACAATGCTGACATTTGTGTTTCCTCTCGCAGTGATGTGCCCGAATGTGTTTGCGAATAACTGAATACTTGATGAATGTTCGCTGGCAGTGGGGGCAACTGAATATACCGTCTTGATTTCTGTGTGTCTCAACATGATCCTTCAGCATTGTACCTTGGCGAAATAGCTGCCTGCACATTGGGCACTCAAAGACTTGTTTATTTTCTGCAAATTCAAATTATAAAAATCCTCTGATTTATTAGACTTAATTGACTTAGAAGTAACAGACTTATTACCTTTATGTGTTTTCAGGTGACCAGACAACGCAGAATTATTCATAAACCGTTTCAAGCAGATACTGCATGGCAGTGGTTTTTGGTCCTCAGCACCATGTGCCAAGCAATGCTGTTGTAAACGTATCTTTGTAGCAAAACGTTTATAACACATTGAACACTTGTATGTACTTAAAGGAGTTAATCTTTTCGTTTTGGGTAGTGCCAATCGTCCATGTTGAGATACATGATTTACCAATTCGCTTTGCTTTTGGAATTCCAGTCCACACTGTGGACATGCGGACGTTTGATTTTCAATTTTGATGTCGTTGGAAGAATGAATAATTGTGTGTAAGTTAAGCAGAGACGGTTTTCTGAAAATCAGATTACACACAGAACATTTCCATTCCTTATTACACTTATTATTCTGCCGTGAATTTTCTTTTTCTTTCATGTTTCTGCCGCGAAACATTTTTACGCGTCGATTATTGTAACTGCCATCCAAACGCGGCCATATGGAAATTTGATTAGAAGCTTCTGTCAAAGAAATTGCATTAATGCAATTAGTATTTCAAACTGTTTTAATATATATATAATAATTTCTATATTCACAATCTTACCTTTGTCATCTGGTTTATGTATTGGCAAATTTCTGCGACTAGCATAATCGTTACTAGGACCTGCTTTTAATTCTTCTTTCGGCGAAATGTTTCTGTTGGTCAGAAACACTATTCCATCCTTCTGTTGGCAAATGATTAAATTTTGCTCTTTATATGTTAGGGCAGGCCGCACAAAACGCATCCAGTTTGAAGTATCTGAAAAAATATGTAAAAATAAAAATTTGAAAATTTAATACCTTCAACAGATATTATATATAATCTATTACTTACTTTCGTTCGAAACATCTACTTTCAATAATTCACCAGTCTCAGTTTCGTAAAGTAATGGTAAAGCATTTTTAAAGGGCGAGCCGTCGTACGGACACAATACACCTTCTATAGGTCCAAATTGCGTGCGCTTCCGAATATTACGTTTTGCAAAGACTCCATAGGTTACGCCATCCACTGTAGCTTCTGAAGTAGATAACTTGTTTAATGAAAGATATGATCCTGGCAGTGTTGCTACAGCACGTGATGGTACTGGTTGATCTGCGATTGTGCATACATCATTCAAATTACAGCTGTCATCTTTGGTGCAATTATTGTCATATTCGTCGCACCCTATAAAAATCCAATAAGTAAAAAATTATATTAAGAAATAAATAACAGAATATTGAAATATATATATATATAATTAGAATATTTTTTAAATAATTTATAATACTTACACAAATCTTTTTTATCTGTTATGTGTCGCTTTGATCTTCTTACATCTTTTTTCTCAATTGATTTCTTCTTTTCACTGGGCGATACATTTCTAGTAATTTGTTGAATTTCTTTATCACATTCTGGCAAAATAAGATTGTTATTTTCTTTGTTTGCATCTTCTATTACAGATGGTAAAGGAACATGACTATGTTCTATCTCCATATTTTGATTTTTAAATGTATTGATAACATTTATTTGATCATCTTGCATGACCAAGAAATCTCTAGTCAAAGCAAAATCTGTACCCGGTATTCCTGTTAGCATTAAGGGAGTTGCTGAAGATTCCAATTCAGGTGTAGTTTCTGCAAGTATTATATGATAATCAAATAACTATAGAAGAGTATCTAACAATTATTTTATTTTATAAATAAATTATTTCTTACCTTGCATTAAAATCAATTCGCTACTGACACTCGACACCAAGCCTTCTTCATTTCCATTGCCAACAAAGTCTGTAGTAGCATCTGTTTGAGGTACAACTTGAGCATCGATTGGATGTGCCAGTTGAGTCACATAATTGATGCTCGTTCTTATATTTGGTTCAGGCTGGGATATTAAAGGAGAGGACGGACCTTGAAGCACAACAACAGAGTTGTGGAAAGGAGAAGAAGGTAGTTGGACTGGTGTGGGGGAGTACCTAGCGGCAGAACTCATGTTTGGATCAAGCGGACTGACACGATGCTCGAACTCGGACAGAGGTGAGGCTGCCCTTGGAGAAAGAGAAATCTGTTCGTATGTTGGAAATAAGCGGGATTGATCCTCCACATATTCCACCTAGTAATAAAACGATATTTTATCATAGAAATAGTATCACGTCAACATTGTCAGTCATCGTCAAAGATTACTCACCGTCAAAAACAAAAGCCTGTTGTTTAGTTTCTTCGATTGTTCGCACAAGGATGAAGCAAAAGCGTGATCAATAGGCCAATTCACCGAGGTATCAGCTCCCTTATCGATGCTGGATATCTCGAAAGACTCGGCAGGGGCCCCCTCAGGAGGGCCCCTTGGATCCATTTTACGACTTGTATCACACCAGAGAAGTCTGATATTTTGTCGCCCGTGCCTATATTAGAGTGACATTTGACATAACTATATGAAAGATTGACAGACTAGGAGACCAAACTGCGTTAACTGTCACACGCAATTCTCGGTGTTTGGAAATTAATGCGAGGAAGGGACGAGATCATCACGCGAGAAACAGGTGTCCGTGGAACGAATCTTCGTTGATTTAAAGTCTTCGGGAAGACTTACCAGCCTCAATATACAGGTTTCGAAGTCGATATACCTCTTACTCCGTGATGCACCTGCTGCTGCAGCAGCACTGGCCTGGCCCGTCAACAGTCGACGATGTCAATCTCGAATCACGATTGACTACCGTTGAACAGCGGGAAATTTTAAAACTTGAATTATAAAATTTTACCAAATTGTATAATCATTTGATTTTTATATAAGTTATTTTTATATAAGTTGTACATATATATTTATTTGTAAACTATAACGAATATATCAATGTTATTTTATTAGAAATGTTAATAATGTAAATAAAGATATGCACATACACATAGGAATGCAAAATATAAAATAAATTATTTCCAATTTGTATAAAATAAAAAAATTAAAAAGCACACACATATATATATATATATATATATATATATATATATTGCATTATAATTTTAAACATTGAATAACTAAAATGTTAATATTACTTATATCAATTTGTTTGTTATTTTTTAATTGACAAATTATGAAATTTATTTTTATATTAAAACTAAAAAAAAAATACAACATATTGTATAATTTTTGAGCATATTAGTAATTAAAAAAAAGTAATTTGAATTATTTTATTTATTACGGCGAAAATAATAATACATTATGTAGACTAATATTTGCTGCAGCGTTTTATTTTCCCCCAACTCTCACTTCCTACCCTTGTCTTCGCTATCGTCAAACTCATGAATGGGGGTTGGGACATTGACTTGGGGTTGGGGAAATGAAACTTACCTAACAACAGAAACAACACCCATAAACAAGACGCTAGCACAGTTCACGATATGAATTGATCGATGTAGACCATAAATGATTTCAATTATTAATGTAACTTTTAAGATCACATTTGACAAACATGGTGCACTTTGACGAAGCGAGTAAGATAATGGACGAGATGATGAAGGTGACGATTTTCAAACCATCCGAGAAACGTCGAATGTTGGAAGACGAGAGGAAAGCCTTTCCGGATCCAAATCTAATTATGGATGCAAGACATCGAATATTTCGCGAAAATTTCACCAGTTTTCAAACCAAGTCTTCCATACTAGCAGAGGCCCGAAAGTATGTTTTTTCAATTTAATATGTAATTTAAATACTTTCTAACTTTTTTGTGATTTTATCGCTTATTCAAGTTTATTTTCACAGATAAATGAAATTTATTACATAATTAATTAATTAATAATTTATTGATGCAAACAATAATAAATTTATTTCCATAAATCAATCGAATGTTCTCCTTATAGATTATTAACTGAAGAAGAAATGAAGGAATTGCAATTGAGGAAAGAACAAGCTTTCATACAAAAGGAATTACATAAATTTGAGCAAAATTTGCAAAAGTCTCGTCCTAAATTTTGCGGACCGTGCAGTAGAAAGAATATAGCTAGCTCGAATGATGAAAATTTTTGGAGAACATCTAATAAAGTCGAGGTAAGTGGATAAATTATTTTGATAAAGACAAATATCATGTAATTTTATTCATCGAGTTTTATTTTAAATATATATAATTACTCAAGTTAAAAATATATATGAATAAAGGCGTGAAAAAATTTTTATAGCGAGCCGTTATTAATAAAAAAAGAAGCAAAACGACCGAGCAAAAGGTGACGGTCGATCAAAAGAAAATTAAACAGGCATTCGCGGAAGTTTCCTCCGTTGAATCGAAAGATGTCAAGCAATGTTCGATAAACGAGGTCGAGGGAGTATCATTCGGTAACATCAAGGTAACCATCAGGGATAAGACAAATTATGTACCGGAGCATCGATTAAATGTTCTGGGATCATGCTTCGAGGCTCTTCGTGAGAACGTGCGGAATAAACGTCGTCTTCGCGAGATCAAAACCAATATTCAGAACATCGCGTCCCGAAGAAATCTAAAATCGTGCATCCACGTATGGAGAACGTACGTGGAAAAAGCGAAGACTCGACGAGAACAGGCGGCGAAAAATTCCGACGTCCGTAAGATTGAGATACTCATCGATACCATCACGGAAACGCAAAAAGAATTGACGAAGTCCCAAAGAACGGAGTCGAAGGGATTTCTTCCGAACACAAGGGACACTGAAATAAGGAAGAAAACTCCTGTCAGGTCATTTGTCGTCGAATCACCGGCACAGAATCGACTAAACGCTCAGAAAGAAATCATCCATAAACAGAGAATGAGATTGGCTGAGCAGAGCAAGATCATCGAGGACCTGAAACTAAAACAGATGCAAGAAGAAATAACGAAAGCTGGCGAGCAGACAATAAACGCAGCCAAGGAGACCCTGACGCATTGTGGTCAACAGACTAGGAGAACTCTGATACAGTTGATGAGACAAGCAGGCTACAGGTAGTCCTATAAATTATAAATTTCATTAAAGCACAATTGAAGGAATATCCATAAATTTTTTTGTCCATATATAATTGCAGGCTTAATTATAAAATTCTACTTAATTATTAAATTCCTATTTCTTAATTTACATCTTTTTAAATTAACTTTACACATACATTTTATGTAAGATATACGATATTTCTTTATATTAAAAGCTAAAGATATCAATATTATAAGCTATTGTTGGAAGCGATATTAAAGTAAATCTGTTGATTACTAACTGATTTCAATAACTTGTGAAATAGAATCTCAAAGATGTCTTAAAGAGATGTGCGTTCACACGAGTATAATCTTTTATATCACAGTAAATTAAATCGACGCTAGTTACAAAAACATACTTTGACGTTTCTTTACATCTTTCCCTTTAATTAACAGAGACAAGTCTTTAACGGCGCCGGTACGGGTGCCAAGTCCACCTAGATTTCTAATGAGGATGGAGGCACGGGCGGAAGCGAGGAGGAACAGAATAAAATTACGTGAAGAAGCACGGCAGAAGAAACTGGAGGACGAGAGGAGGAAAGTAGAAGCCGCTAGGAGAGAGGAGGAGCAAGAGAGGAAAAGATCGCAACAAGAGGTCAGATAATATGAGAGGTCAAACTATATTAATATCGTACTAGGTATATCGTATACATAGACTTAACTCTCACACAGTTTTCACCTTGCGGACAAAATTATATCCCCCGCGAAGGATGCGCGTTTCTAATAAATATTATATTGTATAATAAACTACTTTATATACTGATACAACACTTCATATATTTTATAAAATATTGTATACTTTATAAAATACTTTTACTCTTATACCGCTTACACATTTTAGAAATATATCCGCATTTAATTATATAAGACTTTGTCCTCAGGCCTTGCGCGAAGCAAAAAGAATACGCGAGGAACGAGAGCAACAACGAATATGTGAAATGGAAAGATGTAAAAAATTGAATGCCATGGCGGAAGAATTTTATCGCAAGCATTTGTTGCGACGATACATAATGGAACCATTCATCGCGCTCGTTGAAATGAAGAATAATAATATAAAAAAAGTTGAGGATCACTACAAACGGTACTTATTGCAAAAAGCATTCGTGAGATGGAAGATAGAAACAGAACGTCAAACTCAAATTAAAACTGAGTTAGTTATGTCACTGTATAACAGAAATTTATTGTGGCATGCGTTACAAAAGTGGAAGCAAATAATGAGAGAGAAGCAACAAAAAGAACAAGTGGCTAAAGATTTCTCCGACATGAGATTACAAAACAAATGTTTCAAACTGTGGAAGATAAAAACTGTGGAATATAAAGCTGAGCGACTAAAGACTGAACGTTTAGCTTTGAAACATTATGAAGAAAAATTGAAAGCAAGATACTTCAATATGTGGAAAAAATATCCAAAAATAGTGCCAGATATCTTAGAAAGTGAACGAATAAAAAACACATGGCGGGAAATAGTACAAGAAGTAGTTCCGGACTTCGATCCTAGACAAAGAGGTGTAATATTAGAAGACTAGAAATTAGAAGACTAGAATGAATTTAAAGATAATATAGATTTAATATTGTACGACAATATCGTTGGCCTCGTATCTGAATGAGGTATAGAAGAGTAGTCTTATTCCTAAATACACTTAAGATAAAGCATTTTTTACACAGAATAAAATGTAAATCGTTACATTCTATACATTTGTATTTATCCTTTTTTTTACTTCGGATTTTCTTCAGTATCCATTGTAGTTGATTAGTATAATTCATTATATTAATCATATAATGGCCACTTTATCACAGTTACAATAAATATACAAATGGTATGCACATTCATACATTAAGGATAATGAATCTTGTAAGAATTGGTGCTTTATGATATGTTATAAATGATCTTATATATACAATGTTATAGGAATGTACATATTGTACTTCAGTTATGAATTATTCTGTGAACATGTAAATATTAGAATATATCAAGTAGATGAATTGTGCAATTAAAACCGATATGAATGGCTATATTCCTCTATTTTATATGAATGTATCGATATCGATGTATGACTCGGCGCCAAATTGATGACAAATTTTGTGACCTTACCTTTCTCTAATTAGTTGAATTTGATTTCATTATATCCTTCGTATAGATAATACATACACTATGCAAAATACACTCAGATCTGACTTTTACAAGTATCTTTAAGTTTTGCAGCAGAATAATCTAGATACATTCTTTAACATCCCATGATCGTATTGACTTCCGGCATCTAATCGTCGTTCATTTGATGTTGTGCCGAGGGAAAGCAGCCATAGGTGGTACACGAGATAACAGAAGAGCACTAGGCCGACGAGGAGACTGTAGAGACCAGAGACGAAGCAAAGAGCGATGCTAAAACAATATGCACATTATTACATATCGACCAACTCGGAATGCATGAGCAAACAGTACGACAAGTTATCAGTCAAACTTTTATATATTGGAAAGCAAATAAGAGATATTACAATATTTATGATACCGATTCTTGCAGACTCGACAATTATTATCTCATGACTATTAAACTTTATAGAGCCTCTGTATCTTTCTAACTTAGTTTATCAATTTATTTAGTATTAGACTCAATCATATTTCTTGTATTTGGGATATAAATATTTATTTCTAATTTGGTGTCATGGAATAATTTCACATTAACATTATTAGTGTGTATTAAAAATATTTTAAAGTATAAATTAGTAAAGTAATACATACTCTAGTTGATGGTACACATCGCTGCAGTCATCCGGTAAAAGTACAGTTCCGACAAGTATAAATGGATGACAGACACTGGTCATAGTCAAGTTCGAACCATAGATGAAAGCAATTGCGGAAAAGAATAAACAACCTAAGTACCATTTTAAATTGTTAGAACCTATACAGCAATCCAACCTGAAAAAATACAGAAAGTTGAGACAGTTGACATAGCAATACACAACTGTAAATAATTAAAAAAAATATATACCATTTACAATGATATTCCCTATTAAGTATACATGTCTGGCACAAACGGCAGTGATGGGCTTTGGGTGGTGCTCTTCTTCTGCATGTATTGCAGAGCTCGCCACTGCCCTCACCTAGCTCCAAGCCCTGCACGGTCATGGCACCTTCCTGCGCCGTGTAGTCTGCGTTCAGTTTGGCTCTGTAGCCGCAGCATATGCCACCGACCACGCATACCATGAACAAGAGATTCTCCTCGGGTAGGATCTCCAGCAGTGGCACGACGCTCAGTTCGAACACCAGCATCAGCATCAGGACGCTCGTGATCGTCCACATGAGGAAGAACTTGGTGCGCAGGAGGAACCTGAGGAAATTATGGTGTAGATAGTAAACGAGGATCGGCGTCGCCAGGAACACGACGATCGTGCAGAGGACAGCCTGGGCGGCGATCACCGCCAGGATCGGCACCACTAGTAGCGGCAGCATCGCATCCACGGAGATCTGTTTGGCACCCGCGCGCCAGCCGCACGGATTACGCAGCCTCTCCCAGACGGTCATACTTCGTCATCGACAGGACGGCCCTTCACACTGACATATGTACGAGAAAATCGGCTCTTGTGCACCACGCCTCGACGTTTTCGCTTTCCTACCCGGCAAGACGGATAACATGAAGCACGGTAAGATAGCGGAACAGAAACAGATAGCAGCGCTACTCTCATCGCTTTATTCCATCTCTGAGAAAATAATACGTACTTCCAGAGAGAGAGGATACAAGCGCGTAATTTTCTAAATTCGCGATCCTGAGGAAAATAGAACGCTAAAAGTGCGTTCGGAAATATACGTCTGTGATTGAATACCATGAGTAGGGTTTTTGAACGCACCTAAATGTGAAGGGAAGTATTTTTGAATCTCGCGCAAGGCTCGCGGGATCGAATATCGAATGGTGGCGCTGTTTTGGGGAGCAGCAATGAAGTTGGTGTTGTTGACAGTTCGGTGTGCTTGACAGTTGCGGTGGATCTAACTCGGCACGAGAAGTATCGCGTTGAACGAGGTACGTCACATGGTCGGTGACTGACAGATAAGTCGTGACTCTTCCAAGAAAATTTCTCGCGGTGCACTGACGATTATCGCCCTGAAAATCATCCATCTCGCCTGCATGTAAAGTCTATTTTTTTAATTGCATGGTGCTGCACTCTCTGCACTTAAAATGAAATATTCGCGGGAATAAGAAATGATGATAAAGTGAGTTGCGAGATACAATACGGAGAAAAAAATAAAGATTATCACACACAGGTTCATGTTTTTGTATACATCTGCTTTTCTACATGTTGAACATATATATTCATGTTTTAGAAGACAGCAGGAAAAAGAAACTACTGAATCGAATAGATTTTATTTCTTGACCTCTTCTTGATTTCTTCATCATCTGTATGCGGCGAAAATCGCAAAGAGGTATTTCATTTTTCTCATTGTCAGCACACATTCATTAACACTACATATAACAATTATGTGTATACTTTTTTTTAACACTACATATAACTTTTTTTAACACTACATATTTTTTTAACACTACATATAACAATTATGTGTGTATACTTTTTTTTTGGAAATGTATAAAATAAAATTTAAGTAAAAAAAAAATTTAGCTTAAGGAAAATATAAAATGTATTGATTTTAGCTACGCTTTTCGCATTCTTGTATTTAAAATGGAATCGGTGCATGAGCTTTGCAATGTAGAGGAATGAAGCAAAATGAAAAAATATGAGAAAATCTTTGAAAGTTAAGATTGAGAAATGAGGATTTGCGTGAGTGAGACGCGAATGGCCGGAACATGATGTAAGTTGAACATGCGCTCGGCTCCGAGGAGGCAAACACAAAAAAATAACATAATGCGAATAATAAATGTTCTCTTAATTATCAACTTTGTAACGGGAGTTACGAAGGTCAGCCGTTATCAACGTCGACTGTCTTGTTTATCGACGTCGCGCTCTCGATCACGAAAAATTCGCGTAAACGATAAAATAATTATAGAATGCGAGAAAAGTGAGGCTCGTCAATACGATTAAACTATTAGAATTATAACTTGTGTATGATCTTACATTTGAATTCGATTCTATGTGACAATGTTTTGATTGAATCTTTATGTTCGTGACAATGCAAATGCGACGATCGAAACGTAAGATTTATTTTTTCGCGTCGAAGGACAGATCTTCGGAAGATTGAGCGCACTAAAATGATATCTCGCTTAATTGTACCAAACAACTATATGATAATATATGTCTTACTATCTCCAGATTCTCATAAATCATCGAGAGGCGACAATAATCTTCCTTTTTCCAGAAAAATGTCTTATCACTAGCTCGTGATAATTTTATTTCACTTAGACGGACATTGAAAAATGCTTGCGTCTTTAATTATTATCATACTGTCGAGAGATGAGGGACTAATTAAAGCACAACTGTAGAGTTCCATTAAGATAATCAATCACCATAATAATCGGCCAACTGCGTGAGTTAAAGATGATTGATCAGAAATCATATCGCGCGGTTGTTGTCCAACCGCGTTGAACTGCTCTCGTTTATTCGCACATGTTCGCGATTATCATATTATTTGCCGCACTTGCAGGAACTTGTTGAACATTATAAGAAGAAAAGATTGCGTCCTCGCCTGCATTGTATCGTAAAGACGCTAATATTATCTGTAGCTCTTGAAAAATAGCAATAATGAAGTCCCATAAGAATGATGTATTCATATAAATTTATTATATTCTGAATAATATACTGGAAGAGAGAAAAAGAGAGTGTATTAATAATCAATTCAATTACTGATCCTATTTGATAGATTAATAAAATTAGAAGAGAGGAATTTTTAATTCATCAAGATTAATACCAATCATTGACGACTTTGAATCTGAATAATTGTTGAAAAAGAGATTAATAATTAATTATTTTCAATTTTATCTACAATGTTTAGTAAATTGATGATGAATGATAAATATATTTTTCTTCACTTTCTATTTAAAACTTTCAAATATATGATAGTTCATTATTCAGCAATTATCGAAGTATATCGCGACTAGCGAACGTTGCATCGCGAATGATTAAATGTATTACTGTTTTTCCGAGATTAGTTCCTGTTATCGCTTGTATCACATATTTATCACATTTACGTAGTATTCTCCTTTCTCGATAGGTTGGAGGGAGCGATCAACGCGCTGTACAGTTCACAACTTTTTTATCGTGGAGGAAAACCGATTGGAGACGCCGGAGGCTCGACTGTGGATTTCCCCTTCTTCGTTGTGGATAGTTAGTACGCAACGCTACACCGAGCTGAGGAGATTCAAGCCGGAATTGTATAAGAAGCAGGAAAAGTGCACTCGTTCGTCGACGCGGACAGACCGTGTTAAGTTTGCATGCACTGACGAGTAATTTAATGCTGAGTTTGATCAAGTAAATTTCATTATTGCATCTGTAACATAGCCATATAAGTTTCGTAAAGTGTTCCTGAATAAATTATTTAAATTGTGTGAAAAGAGATTCTTTTGCTGCAATAGTTTTCAGCAGTTAAAAGATTTTAAAAGTTAGGGAGGTTTTTCGGAAACTAAATTCTTTAGAAAAGTTAATAAATAAGAAAATTATGAAAGAGAATAATAATCTCTTGCGATGTTTTTTTCTAAATTACAAATCTACTTTTTTGTCAAAGGATCATTAAAAGATTTGATTCTTACACAACCTACGTATAGTAAATAAATTTGTAAGTCGAGAAAAGATTGTGAATTATTTATTCAGGGTCACTTTATCTTTTTTCTTTGTATATTTATTTGTGTACTCTAAGATATCTTTACGATATCTTAAGATATCTTAACGATATAAATTGCCCGAAAAAGTTGCAGGTTTCTATTATTGAACTATATTATATGACGTTAGAATATATTGAAATAAGATCACGATTATTATTTTTCAATATCATCATATGAAACAGTGCATTCTTTACATCATTTTTCATCTAACGAGATCATTTTTTATATCTAATTATTAAGATCTATTTTTCAATTCTCAAATTCGATTATTTTTTCTTTATCTTTTATTTCCTATTTCAAGAAACATTGAAACAAGTCGAATCCTATCAATTGAAGTAAAGATATACGATATTTGAGCTGTTTAATGCGGATCTGAATCGAGGAGAAAAATATTTATCGGAAAGGAGTGGTTTCGTCTTTTCTCGTCACTTCATCGAATTTACGAGGAGATTGTCACACATGTTCCGAGAAGCGATAACGAAACAACATCATCGACACGAGAGCAAATCGGCAGATAAGAATCCTTTGGTAGTGGTAGATCAGGTCGTGTCTGGGTCGTACTTATAGTGACGACTTCTCATATGGCTCGCGTCGCTGTGAAACGGATGGTGATAGCGATGGTGATAGTGAATTTCGTTCATCTAGCAATGGTAATAGTGACAATAGTGATGTTATTGAAGAATATATATGAAACTGGAGCTACTGCTTTTGTTGTTTCTTGAAGATTCGACGAAGCTCTCGAAAAGTTACAAATTAATGATCGCAGGGAATCGTGGGGATGTTATGTAAGCCATAGTTCGATATTCAAAATTAGAATCTGCAACGTGTTTAAATGCGTCAAATATTCTCTATCTGTTAAAAGATAGTTATGATGATTACATGAAATTGACTAAGATATCAGTTTTACATTTTTTTCTCTGACTGTGAGGACGATGACACACGATCATTCATTTTCGAATTTCTATAAAATGTTCGATGTATTGTTTTCTTATTTGTATACCATGTATTCAAAAATCTGCTATTTGTTTAAAAAAATTTAATTGTCAGAGTTCGGATTATTCTTAATTTTCGAATAATGTACGAGATGACGTATAGCAATCATATATATCAACACGTGTCGATTTACTAAACATGATCGGTTTACTAAGAAATCTTGGTATTTCAGATGATCAAATTACTTGGTCGCATGATGCACATCAGGAGCATTATGATGATACCTTGTGTGCATGGTTGAGTTTCGATGAAGTGACGATTGAGGAAGATGTGCGGTTGAAGACCGAAGATTCAGAAGAGGAGGACGAGAAGGAGCGTGACGAACAACGGGCTCCAGGGATGTCTACGGTGTCGGTCAATAAATTACAGATTTTGTGGGACCACTTCATCCACGCTGAACCCCAAAGTTACGAGGTATTGATGTGATTTTTGAGATTAATGTTTTTTTCTATTCTTCTTCACTGTAGTTTATTTCTTCTTTATATTTTTATAAAAAAATTCTGTCAATTTAATAAAACAAGATTCCATTGTTTATTTATAATAAATCTATTTTGACGTAAATTTTTTTATATGCATTTTTTATATTTTTTGCAATATAATTATGTAGCGCGGTAATAAATTGCTATTTAAGTTCAACATTAACAGTAGTTTGAAGCTTTGCTTTCCATTATAATTGGATTATTTCCATAGACCGCTGCATTATAGTTTACGGAAGGAACGGACGCCTTACAAGTTATCTGTCAATAATGCACAAGAAGAAGTTAAGATATATCAATATATGCACTATAATATATACGCTTATTTTTGTCATAATTAATGATATATTGTTTCACTTAAATGAAATTAATCTTATAAATTTTTCATGCTTATCTAATGAAATTTATAATTTATTAATTAATTATAAATATCTTGCTTTTAGTTTTTAACAATTTAAAAAAGCGTGTATATTTTAGTTGAATGGTTATTTTCATTGCGAATCGATGATACGTGCTCAAGTGCACGGCATTATACCCGATAGTAATAGATTATCACACATAATAAAGGAACTTTTAGATAATTCCTATTTACGCCTATAACGAATATTAAGGAAAATTTGAAGTGCTTCTCAGTTTTATATATATAATTAATAAATAATAAGCATTGAAAATGACATACTTGTAACGTACTTGCTGCTTATGAATGCAATTTATTATAATAAGAGACATGTATATAATGCCTCTTATTATAATAAATTGCATCAGCAAATGTCATAAGCAGCAAGTGCGTTACAAGTATGTCATTTTACAATGCTTAATCATTATGTTTTTCATTTTATGTCTATCAATTGATTAGTGTATCGTATTCAAGCAAATTATCTTCATCAACTTTGGCAAGTAAAGAGCAAAATATCTCTGTTTCTTTTTATCTCGAGCGTATTGCGTATTCATAGGCTTCCTCTTCATGATATGATATTTCAATCACATAGCTTGTTTTTTCTTAAAAGCGATTATAAATGTTAACGAATTCGTATTTATGGGTAATTAGAGTCCAATATTAATTGCGTTTTTTTTTTAAGAATGTTAGATATATGTTAGACGTGTTATGCTTCTACGAGTTACATATGCATGTTTTTTTTTTAATGATTGATATCTCTTTTTAATACATATAGTTTTTGAAATGTTAATAATGACTACGTTAATCTTAATGTGTTGTTTCAGAAATCATCTTGGCTCGATATATTTCTGGCGGAATTTCTCGCGCAGATTAAGGAAGGCAAAGACATAAAAGATGTTTTATCTTTCTGGTGAGTATATCTCTCTCACATAATTTTACATTAATCTACTAATTATACACACGCACACACAGACACACATATAAGGGTGTGTATATATATATAAAATTTCGTAATGTTTATCACGCAATACTTTCCTGAAAGCATATCGGATTATACATGTATTTTTATGGCTTATCGTCTTCACCTCAACCACAATATGAATATTCGATTACACCTTTGCGGTTGAGATGGAAAATTTTTTTCTAGTTGCTAGTTTCGTTGACGTTTTACTTAGTCGTTTATTCTATTCTTCTCTTATCTTGATTAAAAATTTATTCAAATATTTCAAATATCTGATTAAATATTTAATAATTGATTACAATATATACATGTATATAATATAAAAAAATTATTACAAGTGGAGCAATGGATACAAATAACACGTGAGTTACTCGAAATAATAAATACACGTGAACTCTAATCATCGTATCTTTTGATATCGCATATCAGATAATTCGTATACTGTTAAGTAAGATTATAAAAAGAAATGTATATCAAATTTTTTTTATCTGTCTTGTGTTAATTTAGTTCGGTTGGTGGCGGCGGCGTGTCGACTCTCGTGGCCTGCGAATTACTCTCGGACGTGCACGAGCTGTGCGGAAAGAGGAACGATGGCAGCGAGTTGGTCAGTCTACGAAAGTACCTGGTACAGGATCGGGGTTGGCGTTATCTGGCGGTGTTACACCTATTGGATGTACGCGGTTTGTCTTGCGGTCGCGAGCTGGTCACGTTGTTGGTCGCTCTCTATCCAGTCGCATTTCAAGAGGGGACTACCGATTCGAAAACTAACTTGTTTACCACATCGCAAAAGTCTAATGGCGAATCTATCGTTGAATCATCGACACGCAATCAGTACGTGAAGTTCCACTGTAACGACGATATCGTTGATATGATAGACATCGTTTTGCATACGAAACGCAAAACCACTAAGGATTTCTTTCACGAAACCGATGCGCCTTTGCGCGGGAGATCTGCTCGTAGACGATCCATCGCCGACGCTGCAAAATCACGTCAATCTATCAATCACAAACGGATAAAATCGCCATTAATTCTAAAATCTCGACGCAATACATCTGAGAACGCGACTAGCAGCGAATCTGAGTTATTGACAGACGGCATCAATACAACGCGTTCTCTCACTCTGAAGATTCGTCTGAATCCGATGGATTTCGAATATTTCACGTCGATAGTCAGAAGCGACGAGGAGCAGAAGTGGCAAGCTGAGTTATATGAGCTACCACCTCGTCCTGTGAGAAAAACACCGTGTGATTATATCGACGAAAGAATCCAGGATGTACTGAATGCCAAGATTAGTAATTTTGAGATTAGTTTGCTTATCATACAATTGTTGCAAGGTTTGCGCGACTATGACACACCCGCTGAGCAAACACCTGCCGTGCAGGTTCTGAAATTTGCTCTAGATACGCTGTGGTCGCTACAATTTGGCATAGATAGTAATAATTTGAGTAGTACAGAATGCGTCACTCTGAAAGCGGCGGCCGCCAGGTTGATGTTAACAGCTCTAGAACGCGCTTTGAGAGCTGATGAACCTACGACGGCGGTGATTCAAAATGGTTTGCTGCCGATGACTCTGAGATTGCTGGAAGATGCCTGTAGCAAACCGATAAACGTATTGGAGCCAGAGGAAGGTTCGCTATTGCAGGAATTTATTTTCGCCACCATCTATGGGATTGTTACTTTTCTTTATTGTCTGTTACATCAACGCGGCGGCAATGTCGATAAATTATCGGATTTCCTTGAACTGTTCCGGCTTTTTATTGAGAGTCAGGACGGTAAGCTCGTCGAGAGGACAATATTTGCGATCATCGATCTACGCACCATTGATGCAACGAAGTCAATAGTACGTGCCAAGAAAATAATTGACATGATAGGCGCTCTAACCAGTGGATTGAAGCGTATTCGTCGCGATCTCTCACACGCCACGCAGTGCCACAGGACCAAGCACAGATCCTGCATCGATAACATTCAGAGTTATCATCATTCGAATGTGTTCGGAATACCGTACTCTCAATCGGTCGTTAATACGGCTGATAAACAGATGTGCTGCATTTCCTCATTATTCGCGACGCTTATGAGTTTATTGAAGAAGTCTCATCTATTTGCGAGTGAGTTGCAGGTGAGATTGATTAAGATCACCACCGCCGCAGGTACGTGCTGTTGTTTCCCGCCCAAGGTACTTATTTCAAGTGTTGTCACCTTCCTAAAAAAATGCGATTTCTCGACCTACGCGTCAGCTGTAGCATTTCTCGAACGTATTTTCTTTAAAGAGCTAGGCGCTTATGCAATGACAGATGCATGCAGCACTTGTGTGAGGCCAGCGAATTATTCGTGGGACTTTCTGGAAATGTATGTCGATTTATTGTGTCCTAGTGATCCAAAACTCTGTTATATTGTCATGGCGCATCTGCTGCAAGTTACATCCGGTTCCCGATTTCATGTAAGGGAACAACTTCTGCTCAGAGTTTTCTATCCGGCTTTTTTGCGCGCTAAAGAATGTTACACAATCAATAACGATGACGTAACGGCAAAGTTTCTTTTGCAATCCTGCATGTCCGTTATGTCGTGTTTAATCGTGAACGCGCATATGTGCGAAAGATTTATGGAGATTAACGGACTACGTGAGATATTGCCTTTGATGGCAAATTTGGCATTTACTAGAAGCGTTTATGCTCTTTTGGAAGTCACCGTAACTATGGAGATCTGGAAAATGCGTGATGAGAAATTCGACAATTTGGAAAGCATCGAGATGCCGATCGCGACAAGATCTCTCTTTGAATCTCTCGATAGAGAGACGAATGAATTATTAAATTGCTTACGATGTTTCGAGAAACCAAAGATAGAAGAAAATGCGGAAGAGAACAAAAATACATTCGATAAGCGTTCTGACAATCAAAACGTTGATTTGTCTCCTGTAAAAAAATTAAAAATCGATGAGACGACAATTAAAAGTCTTGACGATGTAACAACTTTACCGCAACTGCCTGAAAGTGATATTCATCGCGAACAATTAGAGAACAAGACTGATACGATAAATACTGTAGTAATTTCAAATTCATTTAAAAAGCTTTATAATCTTATAGAGCAAGTTGAAGTGTACGACGCAGAAGTGTCGTTTGAGAAATTTAACTTATATCGAGCTAGCATAGCATGGAGAGCTACTGCGGGTGTAGCATTGTGCAGTCCAAAATTTCGCACCGAATTGTCTACGCATTCAGTATCCAAGAAATCGTTACGTTTGTTTAGGCTGTTAACTATAGGCCTCGCCACGGACAGTATTGAAGGTAATTGTATAATGATTCTGGAGCGATAATAATTATCTGAAAGAATTATCATATTAACAAACGTATCGTGCTCTTTTAGATACTGGCAAATCGGCACATAAGCTTTTCGAGGCCCTGATTACATGTTGTCTGATATCTCCGTTTTGTAAGTGTATTGTTCATATAATAAATGTAATTAATAAATGTGATTAATAAACATATATGTAATATACGTTTATCCATTATATGCGTGTATACATATGTATGTATCGGTCGCTTACGCAGCTGTGGGATTATAATCAACATAAAACATAAAGATGTTTCGCTCATTTGCTTGGCAGAAAAATAGTTTAGAGAACGTAGACAGATGGTAAACGTCATTTCTGTGTGTGTGAAATCGTGATTGAATCGCTATTTAAATATGTGCAATTATTTATTATATATTGAAATTTTATTTTATTATTGTTATCCACCTATATAACTGAATATTCTGCGATGCAGATGATTGTGACATAATCATGGAATTAAGAGAAACATTGATGAGTACCGGGATGAAGCTCGGTCGTGGAATAGCTGTGATAGTAAATGCGATATTGAAAGTCTCTATGCTGAAACCGGCGCAAGAGAATAGCATACCTCAACAACCGCGGCCAAGAGTACGTTATCGATTTTTAAATTCCTATATATTAATTGTGAAAAATAAATCAATTGTAAATATATTTTATATTTTGGAGTATTGATATATATATATTTTTTTACAGTTACCAACTTTGTCGTTGGAAAATCCACCGGACTATAGCGCCGAAGATAGCAGCACCGGTGAATATATAACTGCTGATGATGGATACGAAGCGGATGTCGAAGTACCTGAAAAGAGTCCCAATAATAGCACTTCCAAGAAGAGTAGTCCTCTTGGGCTTGTAATAGAACCGAGAGGTCATGCTAATGCACATCCTGCTTTATGTTCCTTGGCGATAGATCTTTTAATTCACTTCAGTCAACAGTAAGATTTCAAGTTTTGGTATGTTAATGTACTATTATTACTTTATATTTTATGAAGCTTTTTCTTACAGAAGTTTAGATTTAGAGAAAGGCTCGATAATAACTGGTGGATTGCGAAGAATCGCTGGTACATGTCGAGAAAGTGTCTCAAGTTGCGCCGCTCTCGCGGCTTCAGGGACTATTATGAAAATATTAAACGGCTTTAAAAATGTATTCATTAACAATGATCCACGATATCGAGGTATCATCATTCGTGAAAAATATAAATATTCACTAAGTATTAGAATATTATATGATGAATTTTTTTCAGATTTACAACACGCGGCGTTGGAAGTTTTTACATTATTAGCGACGCAATCAATCTCATCGGCGGAGCTAGTCGAATATATGTCTTTCTTTAAAACGGAAAGACCACCGTTGTTACCGTTACTGGAGCCATTGTATCATTTAGTACTGGTGGCACGACCTCAACCTAATTTTATTTTGTCGTTCCCTGTGCATTGCGATATAAAAACATCGCCGAAGACGGAGCAACATAAGAATCTGGAAAAGGCTGAGAATCTCGTGAAAAATTTCAGAAAGAAACATCTTGCGGCGGGAATTTGCAGTCCATGGTCTGTACATGCGATATGTCTACCTGTTGGTCCGGAACTTGCCTGGCCAGTATGGTTACACGGTTGTTCTGCTTCCATGTGGATAAGAGTAGAAAGAGGAATGTCAATTGGCAGTCGTGCGACAATCTATAATACCTCACCGTTACTCGATTCAGATAACGAGAGCCTATCCGATTGGGGTATTCTTTCTGACAATTGGAATCGGCAAGGTTAATAGAGAAAATGTTATATGTGATTACATTTAAAATTATTATAATATCTCTAATTGTGTGTTAATATTATTTACTTATTAATATGCGGGAGAGATATTTATTATTTATTGATAGCAATAAGTTTATTATTTTTTTATTTGAATATATCTCGAATTATCATAGAAAAATTAGATCTGATATTTGATCTTTTCTCGGAATCATTAGTCGTAGCTGGTTCTGTGTCGCCACCCACACCAACGTCGATAATACATTTGATGTCCATTGGCTTCGAATCGTTGGTTCTAGAAATGTGGCTCGATTTAAAATCAGGTAAAATATTGCCTATAAATTTCATGAATTACCAAGCAAAAATTATTATTAATTTTATTGAGTTTTTTATTTTATTAATTTTATTGTTTTTAGATAAATTAATTTTACGACTTACTCGTCCGGATGATAAGATGAACCGAACGATCTCTGAAACTTCAATAAACAATATGCTTTCCTGTGGACATTGGCATCATTTGACGTTAAACTTTAAAGATACTGTTTTGAATAAGCGGAGTGCTGTAGTTGATGTTACGCTCTGGGTAGATGGCTGGAAAGAGATCAATGCTCAATTACCATTTGATGGTTTATTAATGAGAAAACCGGGTACTACGTGTGTTTTATTGGGTCAAATTGGGTCGAGCAGTATTGGCGCATGGTATTTCGGAAATTTAATGGTTTTTAGGTACATTATTTCACATTAAATAGATAATAATTCACATATAACACGCAGAGTCATATGCACTAATAAAATAAATCTAATTTGATCATTATTCATAGATGTCCAGTATTCACGAAAGAACGTGCATTGTATTTAACAAGTCTTGGACCAAATTACACCAACTTGGCGGATTGCATTTTGAACACTGTGAAACCTGATTTTGCACCCCTTATTACGTCTGGGGCACTAAATGGCGTTTGTGAAGTAAAATATGGTTAGTACAATTTATAATATTATTGTAAGAGATGATTAGTATTATTAAACAGAAATTCTTATTTTTATAAAACTTGATATTTTATTTTTATATATAGAAGAAAGTAAATTTGATTCAAGTCGACGAAAATCTTACGATGATACTTACTTGAAACATGCTGTCGAAACAGTGGTGTCAGAATCAAAAGTTGACTGGGATGCTGTTATGGATGCGACAAACTCGCATCTTGGTGACTTGCAAGATAATTTGCTTCTTAGTTATGAGGCTCAAAATCCTAACATCGTACATTTATATCCTCAAGCCATCACTAATCCTGCTGGTATGATACATCACTTTATTTATTAATCTCATCATATTGATCAATTATACATTTAGTAATATATTTTTGTAGTTATTGTGGGAAATATTTTCCCGGGTCAACCAGGTTTTAGAATCATCTCAGCCCCAGAACACAGGGTGTCGCAGCAACCACCTTTATCGATACCTCCGATTGTATCTACTCGTTTAGAAAACCAACAATATCGAGGACTTATACCTGCAGCGATTTTAGTAGGTGGTGTACCAGTATTTTTATATCTTTTTGCGAGGGTACGTATTCTTCTTTTAGAAATCTCTTTTGTAAAAACTAATTGAAATAGAAAGTAAATAAAATGGATGTAGTATTCAAACATTCCTGATTGCTTGCATAGGTGGTCGAATTAAACTCTACTGAAGAGGAACAAGCCTTGGCTCTCTCCATAGTCCTGCATCTTGTTCGTAGTGATTCAGAACTCTTAAATCAATACCGATTGGATGGCGGGACATTATTAGTTCTTCGCGTTCTAGAATCGTCTCGATGCCACGCAGGTAGACACATTTTGAAAGCGATGCTGGATGCAGCGTGCGACAGTTCGATCATCATCAGAGACATCGGTAGTAACCATCCAGTTTCTCAGAATTGTGAGGCTGTTATCACGGATCCGGAATTGATCAAGGCCGCGCTTACTGCATGGAGAGCATGGGCGAAATATGATACATTAAATTTACTATTACAAACGCTGTTACTCTTACTGCGAGACCAACATTCGCAGCGTGAATTCAATGCATCTCAATTAAACAGGGTTGGAATTGTGGATACAATCCTTACCTTGTGTAAGGTAAACCAACAAATATTATGTTTAATGTAATGTTATACATCGATGTATGTTTCTTATGTATAGTGATATCTCTTGATTTCCTAGGAGCACTTTATGTACGAAATAAATGAAGAGGTAAATGCCGTATTGGATTCGAATACTGGAATCGCAATTGTGGAATTAATGCGCGCTTTAATGGGTGCACCACCGGAATTTGCTCATTTGGTTGCCATCACTGATTATTTGGTTCTCGTTCATCAAGCTTCGGAAACTTATGTTACTCATTCACGACAAAATATATATTTTATGTTGCCGCAACTTAGAGAAACAAAAACAAATCTGAAAAAAAGTGATAACAGTTCTATTTCTTCCAATGATTCAATAAGCTTGATGGAAAACAGTAAATTGAACAAGGCATTAACGAACGAACAGGTATGAACTTTTATAGTATGAAATTTCTTTGATTGCAAAAACTGCATAAATATTATTGTTTATTCTTTTGTAGATTCAAAAGACTCGAAGTCCTAAAAAGAAAAATCGTAAAAATACACCAATGGATAATACTAGTGGTGGAGAAGATTCCGGAATTGCAGCTAGTGATGGATCTACTCCACAGAGTAATGTAAGTAGCAAAAAAAATTTTTTAAATCTATATAATTTTACATAACACAAATTTTACATAGTATTAACATAATTTTTTATATTAGTAATTTTACATAGTATTCATTTGAACATATGCATTATCATTTAGGAAAGACAATCAACATATTCAGATGAAAAAAGAGCTTGTCAAGGCTTAGTTTGCGAAGGGCTGCTATTGTTATTGAGAGATGCTGTAAGAGTATTACCAGACTGCCAAGTTGGATCGGTGTTAAAACATGTTTTAAGAGCTGAACTTTTGTTAGTTTTAGCTAATGATCCTGATAACCGTGTACGCACAGCACTGATCAAGGTACATAATTACTCAGCTCAATTATATTGTATAATTTCCGTATTAAGACATCAAAACAAACATTTCATAATATCTTGTGTGTATGGCATTTTTTAGGTGATACAAACGTATCTACAACGTGCTAGTGATGAAGAAGTTAACAAGTTTATAAAACAGAAATATTTTATGCATCTAGGAAATCAGATAGCTTTATATCCCGCAAGCGATTCAGTAGTTATTGCTTTAGAGAACTTGGCTGCACGAAGTCCGACTTTGGCGGCAATGTCAATGTTAATGGCGATAATTGCAAAGACTTCAAACTCTGATTCAAGCATAGTTAGGCCATTGATATTGTTTATAACTGATGTAATAGTAAAGGTATGGAAATAGAATACATTTTTATAACAGATTTGACAAATATGATCATATCAATTTTTGCTACTTTTCAGAATATAAATGCACTGAAAGTACTTTTAGAGCAAGGCTTAATTGAATCCTTGGTACAAGGTTTGGTCGGGACTGCATATAAAAGTAACTCGATGTCCCTTCATCGAGACATTCATGTGCTGTTTGTAACAATCGCGACTAAGCTTCTAGAATTACCCGGTAGTCATCAAATACAAGCGATATTAGATTTACATGTGATACTTGATTACATGGAAATATCGGAAAAACTACGATGCTGCACAAGTTCGATTCGCACAGCCGTGAGAGACGCACAAGTCGCATTGTTCGATGGAGAGTTGGACGCACTTGTGACAAAACTGTCGAATCCCTCGGGATTCCGTCTACGTAGCACGGCTTCTTACTTGGCTTCGGCATCTTATTTCACTTCAGGTAATTATGGCATGCGCAAAAGTTTTAAACATTCGCACTCGATATTCACACTTGAAAAATATTTTTTCAGTTCTTACGACGTCTGGCGAGCAGAGTGATCATGGATCTCATTCCTCCAGCTACGGTAGCTTTCATGCGAGCTCATCCTCGGTGCTGCGCGAACCCGGTAAAGGAGAATTGAACGATCGTTTTCGTATCATCGTAACACGCGCGGTTGAATTTATAACAACAGCTGATACGTCACCGTCCGTCAATGAATTGCAATTAACGAGAAGATTGTTTTCCATTCTTTTACACGGTTTATGTAGTCCACTAGAAAAGAAAAATCATTGGAGCAATACGTGGTCTATTAGACCAGCATTGAGAAAATATACCGCTAGAATAATGATATGGCTATTGGAACCACATCAGAGCATCAATACAAGAATGTATGCTATTAGATCTCTAATGGAAGAACCAAGAGCTCGCGAAATCCTATCATGCATTTTGGAGGTTCATCCACAGGTATCTGCGCTAATTAGTTTGAACAACTATTATTTGTACTTTATACATCAGTGCGCAAAATTTGATATTATCTAGAATATTATGTCTAGATAGAACAAAAGTTTACCGTATTTTTTTGGGATCTATTGCAAAAACGGGACGAGATGCCTAGTGTCGATGCTAGAGTATGCGCAGAACTCAGAGAAGCTCTGCGTGTGTGGAATCTCGCGAAAGGGATAGAGCAAGCTAATCCGGAAGTGTGGAACGACGAATTAGCTTTGTTACGTCGAGATATGTTTCTAGATCGAGATATTTGTATCGACAATTATCCTGCAGTTTTAAGGTAAATGCGTGTGCATTATATAAAATCAACGTATATTTTGTTGAAAATATAGCATAAAATGATATAATGACATAATTTTATATTAGAATCGGCAAGAGATTCGATGCATTGGCGAAGCAATTAATCGAAAGTGCTATGAATATAACGCGTTCGGTTGTGGAAGAACAAAACCGTGAGCGCAAAGTGTTGATGGAGCAGTTGAAACACATGCGAGCACTACAGGCTCAGACGGTGGCCAGGTGGAGAGACATAGCCAAGCGATTAACACATGAATGGGCACCGTGGTATTTTTCCGATAGCTATCCGAAAAATTGGGAGTTGGATCCAACTGAAGGTCCTGCGAGAGTTAGAATTAGGCTTCAGAGATGTCATTTGAATATTGATAAAAGATTCTTTTTGCCCGAACATCAAAATAATTTAGGTATGTAAGAACCACCATCATATTACCATGAAATGAACAGTTTTTCTTAACAAATGCATTTTTTCGCTATTCCTCTCGCTGACATTTAGACATGTAAAAAAGTTTAATATATTAGAAATACTCTTATGTTTTAACTTTAAATTTTATATTTTATAGATTCTTCTAATATCGAAATGCCATTGTCATATTTATTTACGAGTACTCATGAAGATGCCAATACTGTGGCTTTGATCGAACGATTACATACAAGTGAGAAAATACGCAAAATGTCTCAAGTGAAAGTTGTTACACCTAGGGCCGAATTAGCGGGAGAAGTTCTTATTGGTGAGACATGCGTGTATTTCGTTCCAGATAATCCCGATATGCCATTACACACGGACGTAAGCAATTTTTCCCTGTCTTTTGTAATTATAATTATATTTCATCGACGGAGCATCAATTAATCATTTTTAATTATAGATAGCATTGGGTGGTTTCGATTTGGCTGTAACCGGTGGTACTGCTTGGCGCCTCGAAGATATTCGCGAATTGCACAGAAGAAGATATCAATTGCAGGAGAGAGCAATTGAGATCTTTCTCATTACCGGTAGAACATACTTATTGGCGTTCAATTCATCCAAGGAAAGGGATGAATTTGCAACCGAGTTATCCGCTTGCAATTTGCCGAGGCGAATCCCTGGTGATGATTTGGGAGAGGCTTTAACTTTGTGGAGAAGTGGCGCGCTCACTAATTGGGAATACATTATTTGTTTGAATAAACTGGCTGGTCGTTCGTATAACGACTTAATGCAGTATCCCGTATTTCCATTTGTTTTGGCGGATTACGTCAGTGATAAGCTCGACTTGAACGATCCGAAAATCTATCGGTAAGTAATGTGCGATAAATCAAAATATAATATAAATATAAATATAATTCTTAAACATATTTATATGTATTTTACAGAAATTTCAAACGACCGATGGCTGTGCAAGATAAAAAGAACGAACAACATTATATAAATAATTATAATGTAAGCAATTTCAAGTTATTACATGTTATCACTATTCTGAAATTTCTCTTATAGAATCATTAATAACTATACCTTGATGTACAGTATTTGAAGCAAACCTTAACAGAAGGATTAAATCTGATTGCCTTAAATCAAGGACCATTTCATTACGGATCTCATTATAGTAATTCTGGAACAGTTTTACATTTTTTGGTACGACTTCCACCATTCACTAGCATGTTCCTGTGTTATCAAGGTAATTATGAAACTCTATTCTTTTTTTATAATATTAATAATATTAATAATATTAATGAAAAAGTTGATTCCTATTAAAATTCTATGTCCATTTGCAGATAATAATTTTGATATTCCTGATCGAACATTCCATGCATTAGCTACTACATGGAGATTAACAAGTTGCGATTCCACAACGGATGTGAAGGAATTGATACCAGAATTCTTTTATTTACCTGAATTTTTATTAAATTTCGAAGGTAAATTAGAATATGTCACAATTATTTTTAGAAAAAAAAAAGAACAAAAATAAAATTGTGTACATTTGTAAATACATTCGTATTTTAGGATTCAATTTTGGCGTTCGACAAAATGGTAATAAAGTTGGAGATGTTGAATTACCAAAATGGTGCGGTGGTGATGTGCGTCTATTTATATTAGCACATAGAGCCGCGTTAGAATCAGACATTGTGCGAGAAGTATTACCATATTGGATTGATCTCGTTTTTGGATTCAGACAGACGGGAAAACCGGCGGTAGAGGCCATAAATGTCTTTCATCCTGCTGTACGTTAATATATTATTACAGCATAACATTTATGTATAATTTATATAAAATTTAAATATAAAAAATTAAGAAAAATGAATGAGCATTTACCAATTGTTCATTTTTTGTATTTAGACTTATTATGGATTTGATGTGGAACAAATATCCGATTCTTTAGAACGTCAAGCCTGGGAAACGATGATACGAACTTATGGTCAAACGCCTGCACAGTTATTTAGAACTCCTCATCCATTGATTCAGAATCTTGGCAATGTAACGCTCTCTGATCAGACGCTGCAGGTTATTGAAGGAGTCAGTGGTAATTTTTTTATTGATTTAAACTACTATTTAATTGATATTATAAATATTGCACACAAAATTATATTTATTAAATATTATAATTGAAGGTATAAAATGGGGAAATTATGTAGGCGCTCCTGGCAATAAACCTGTATTATGTTGGAAACTAAAACATAAAACTCCATTAGCTTCTCTAATTCCTCTTGCAACCGGTGACGTTTTTGGTCTGCCTAATTACACGACACTTCTCCTGGGTTATACTAAAGAGAAAGGTGATTTGATTTTTGATTGATCGCAATTTTTCCATACTATTGCGCTTTTTGTAATTCGCGAAACTTCATATATAAATATATTTTATAAACCTCTTGTTTGTTGCAGGTGGTAGTATGTTAAGTAATATGTCTGTCTTGGGTGCTGCATTAGCATCATGGAATGGAACAGATGGAATCGCTAGATTAAAATGTAAAAAGGAACAACCACCGAAGCCGTTAATTAAATCCTCAGGCCTCGATCCAGTAAGTATCTTATAATACACATCTCATAATAAACACAATATAAGACACTTATCATAAAAAATAATAAAATAATAAAAAGAAAAACACGCAATCAGATTTATATAGAAAATTACTATATATATGTAAAATTATTAAAGTTATTTTATCTAAAATAAAATGTTAAATGCAAATCGTCTATTTAGATCACAACATTAGGATCTACTCCAGATTGTGGACAACTCTGGATCGGACATTTATCAGGCAGAATTACGGCGCATACATATATTATCGGAATTACAGGCAAAATCGAATTCAGTTTAGCACCTGCAATAACACTTTTAGCCCACAGAAGTCGAGTGACAACAATATCTTTGTCCCGTGCATTTAGTATTGCTTGCTCCGGCGATGCTAATGGGGTCATTGCTATTTGGGATTTAAACAGGTACGCATGATACAAAAATAAACTCGTGTCATGTTTAGCGATTCGTTATATCTTTTTTTTATATATCTTTATTTTGAAACAGCTTAACATATGTAAGATCAATAGTCTGCGATCAAGGTTATACTATACATCTCTTGTGTATCAGTGAAACACTTGGTGATGTAGCAATTACTTACGAGATTCCTAGATCAGAGGACAATGTGACTGCCGATCGATCCGAGTTAAGAGTTTACACTATAAATGCAAGAGCTGTAGGCTCCATTTCGTCCAAAAGACGTGTAACAGCGCTTTGTTATAGCAGCGCGCCAGAAGGTGTTTCTGTCAATGTTATTGCAACTGGTTTAGACAATGGAATAATAAGGTATGCATATATTTCATTAAATCTGTCTGTGAACAATTATCAAACAAAAATATTTTTGAATGTAGATTATGGAGCAGTTGGGATTTACAGTTAGTCAGAGAAATTTCGAATAACTTGAGAGATAGTTGTGCAATAATCGCTGTGGTATGGTCCCTTGATCAGCACCATTTATATGCAGTTACAGAAGACTCCACTGTCTTAATTTGGGAAGGATCTAAGCGTCTTAGCAACGGTACTCCGAAATTCGTCAACTTAACATCATTTTAACCTGTATAATCATTATCTGAGAATTTAAAACTGATACAAGGACAAATGTATGAACTCAGAAAAAAACTTATATATAAACAAAGAGAATTAGATTGGAAACATAAAACCGATGTTTTCTATATTATGTTTATTATGCTTTTCTTATCTTTGTTTTTTTTATTGTTTTTATTATTATTTAATATATAATTATTTCTGTGTTATTACTTAAGGATTAATATTCAGATAATTAATTACACTCAATTTTTTTTTACTTTTAGTCATGATCATGACATGTATTGATGATAAAATGAATAATGTATTGAAGTATTATCTTATTAATTTTTTTAATATAATGGTTATCTCTAGTTATATATATATATATATATATATATATATGGTATTCATATATATTGTCATATATATATCTTCCTTTCTGTTTTCAATAATGTAATTTATATATATATATATATATATATATATATATATATATATATATAAAATGTTACAATAAGTGTTTATAGAAACTGTCCATCTTTTTTTTCAATAACTTTAGCTCATATTTTTCACACACACATATATTTTAAGTAAAGTTTTTCTTCAATTTCTTAAACATTTGTCTTATTCATCCAATATATGTAATTAGTATGTAATTGCTTACCTCAAATCTCATTCAAACAAGATTCAATTATTTCAAACATGGGATAGTATTTTGTTGTCCTTCTTGCAATCTGATCTGCAGTATCTCCGCTTGAATTTACTATGTAAGGATTTATATCAGGATGTAATAGAAGCAGTTGAAAAGCACGAGAGTTGTGAGAACTAGCGGAAACCAAATGTAAAGGTGTTTGATCTCCTTTACTTTTAGCATTTATATTTGCTCCATTTGCGATCAATGCTTCAGCGCATTCTATGTTATTCCAACAGCATGCGGAGTGCAAAGGTTGCCATTCATCTTGAGTCTTAGCATCTATTTTTGCTCCTGCTTCTAACAGATACTGTTGAAAAGTAATAGCAAGTTCATAATACTTTTATAAAACTTTTAGATGATTTTTAAAAACATTAAAGAAATAATTTTCAGTCTCCAAGTAACACACCTCTACTACTTCTATGTTATTGCCGTAACATGCTCTATGAAGCGGAGTATAGCCATCCTTATCGGTACATTCCAGCAAGAGACGATTCTTATGTGCTAATTTTTTAATTTTTTCTAGATTCCCCTCTTCGGCAGCATTCAATATAGCTTTTGCATCAGGCTCTGGAAAAAATACATCATTATTATAAATCTGACATAAAATCAAACAATTTTAATAAAACATTACTCGGAAAGATTATGTAAACACATTTTTACTCTTTCCGATAGTTTTACAAGTGTGATTGATCTCTTGGTACGGAATTATTTGTCAGAATTCTAACCTCTTGCGTTACGCTCCGCTTCCACACCATCATCGTCATCTTCCCAGGCGCTTACGAGCATACGTTCGCTACGTGTACTGAGCATTTTATCTCGTATCGCCTCTAAATCTTGCAATTCGTCCTCCTCTTCCGATGACATGTATCGTTGATGAAATAACATTTGTCGACGAAAATCAACCTGTCCTCGATCCATCAAAGCGTATCGCATGTGTGACAATGGGTCTGTTCGTTTTAGCTGCACTGCTGCACTAGTGCAATAAGTTAGAAAGAGACAAACGTACTTTCTTTCACTCTAACTAATTGCACTAGTGCAGCAGTGCAGCTAAAACGAACAGACCCAATACGTTTAGGTTAGGATGCACGTATCAAAACATCTGACGTATCTCGAGACGATGACATTTGAGAAAAAACAAATTCGAGCTTCTCAAATTTATAGCAATTGCAATCATAAGTAAGTTGCAGAAAATGGACTGCTTGAAATTATTGGAAACTTTAGACATATTCGGTTATGCCGGTATTTGCATAAGTACCGAAGATTCGCAGTTACTACAGAATTCGCTGCTCATTTTACAGACGGAAAATCACTTTCGAAAATGTTATTATTGGGGTAGAATCAATGGATTACAAAATGATTATCATATCGCGTACGGTTACGAAAAGGATTGCATGAATGGCCAGGTATACTATTACAGGTAATTTGATTAAAGTGTGTGCAATTTCTATTTTAGCAAATTGAATTATAAAATCTTGAAATTAATGTATGCATTTAAATTATAAAGTTGATCATTAATCACTATAATTTATTTGTATTTTTTATTTCACTTGTATTTTTTTCTTTAGAATAAGATTTTTCTTTTTAATTATATTTGGAGGCATTTTGACTTATTTGTCCCTTTTTATGATATAGCATAGATGGTTTAAACTGGCTGTTGCTGCCAAAAGCGACAAAGTGTGGACGATTTTTGAGTCCTTTGTCGATTAACAGATTTGACGGTGATCCATCTATTGTCACGAATGTTTACAACGCCAACCCACCATTTCCACCAAACGAGGATCCTAAAACTTATTACAATGTAATCGTGCAATTAGAAACATATTTCTTCAAATTTTTTCCAAGAAAAATCCAGATTCAAGAAATTGCTAAAATTAAATCACATTTATTAATATAATTTAAAGAATATTTTTTTTAGGTGTAATTTTATAATATTCAAGAATTTATAGTTTATGTAATAAACAAGGCGTGAAAAAACGACGAATGTAGGGTCCTATACCAAAGGAATTGAAGGAGGAGGACCGTCTCGCAGCTATCGTGGAATCAATTATGGAAGATGCAGCAATCATTCCACGTGGGGCCTGGTTCAAATGTCCAAACGGCGATGTCATCGAGAATCCGAGCTTCGAAGGTCTTTGCGCCTCAGATGCTTCGCATCTAAAGTCCTACTTGCATGCTCGTTCACCAAAAGAGAAATGGAGCACCAATTTACTGTCTCGGCCCGATTATAATTACGCGTTAGATTTCCTGGACAGCATAGATTTGGATGTTCCTCAAGGTATCAATAAAAGATAGAACGACAAAGTTAATTATGAATTAAACAACAGGAAGAACACATAATAGAAAGCGACGATATTGTTTTATGATTACATTCGAGCTTAATGCTGTTTGAATATATTTAAGATTTAATATACTCTGATTATATATATTAATGTATCTCTTTATTTGTTTCTACAGACTGTTGGGATATGCAATTTTTTTGGGGCGGTCGCCTGGTCATTTTGCACAGTCTGTATTGGCATGGAATGACCTTCTTCCACAAATTGAATTCTCCGCATTATGGATTTTTATATGTCGGGCATGGAAAAAAGAATTTAGATCTTCCATTCATGTATTAATATGAAGTACAAAAATTATCCAAAATTGTTACAGATTAAACTATTTCTTTAAAATTTAAAAATTTATGTGCATTCTTACATTAAAATATATTTTTAAGACTTACTTAAAAATATAATTCTATAAATTATTATAATATTTAAAAATTAACTTTCACTTTTTTAGATATATTTCTTAAATTTTTTATTCTTTTTAACTTATCATTTTCAATTTTCTCTCTTTTTTTAAGTGATCTATTCATTAACTTTTTAATAGAAATTAATAATTTTATATTTATTTGTGTCTTATATGCCTTAAACTTTATAATAAAAAAAACCATTTTTTTATATTTTATGTTATATAATTATAAGCATAGATATTGTAGTGTTAGAAATGAGTATAATTTAAATTTTTAAATAATTTTAATTTTAATTTTAAATAATTTTAATTTGAATTTTGACCATGAAGTTAATAAAAGCATGATATGTTTCAAACATATCAAGCGTAACACGTGAAATTGTCGGTCTACAATATGAAGTATTCCGCGAAATACACGAACGATATATTCAGTCGAACGAATAATCGATATGTGCGACAAAATAATTCCACGAGCGTCATTGTTCTTAACGTCCGGTTCTCGTCACGAAAATCCATTGTCCGCTCGTGTTCTCGTTCGCGTTTGCGCTTGACAACTTTCGAATTTGCGACAATGTTAAATTTCGTGCTTCCTGCGGAACTCGTGTATTCTCGCGTCAGCCTGAAATTCAGGATTCTACGAAATTAAATCTGTGTATGGCCGCAACAAAATGGCTTGAATCGCACTAGGAAATGAACTCCGAGAAACGCGCAGAATATCCCTAATTGCCACACGTAAGTCATTAATTTTCTTTATAAAAGAAAATACAAACTGATTCAATTATACTAAAGTCTAATAAATTTTTTCATTACACTACAACATATCCTAATTATCGAAAGATCTCTTTCACACATTAAAATATAATAATAATAGTAACGAACATTTGTTTTAAAATTCTAGCAATAATATGCTGAAAACAAAAAAATAAATAAATCGAGACATTAAAATTTATTCGAGTAACAGAAAGAAATAGAAAATATGATATAAAGAACGAGGTATGAATATAAAACTGCGTGAAAGAATAAAACTGTTACATTTACATTAACATTTAAAAATAGAAATTGCAAAATTTCAGGCTCAAAGGATATAGATCGCATCTCTTCGCTCGAGAGGATACAACGCAGGCGGTTCAAACCGTCGCGACTTTCGCGCGCTTTCGTCAGGCCTCGTGACGCGCGTGGTTGCCGCTAGATGGCGCGCGCGAGCAACATGGCGACGCGAGCGCACGTAACGAAGCCGGCCGGGGACGCACAAGCGCAGTCGAGCAACGGAGTTGAACGTAGTGACCGGCGTTTCCTCTAGTGAAGTGTTCCGAGTTGATTGCGAGTGATCCCAAGGAACGACCTGACCTGTGCGCTCTATCATCTCTCTCTCGTGGGGATTCGACGACTACATTTCGAGCACGGTAAGTGCCAACGAATAATCGCGTAGCGAACGCGTCGCAAATGCGTGCCTGTATCGTGCCGAAATTTCCGTTACTTTTGGGAGCGCGAAGTAGCGTCTCGAAGCCGGGACGCGTCCGGCAAGCCGGTTTTCCTTCCCGGGGCACGTGGCAATTTCCAGAAAATTCCTTGGCCTGAGAAACCTCAGATCTCGTTGCACGCGACAGGAGCATCGACTTATGTACGAAATATTCCCGATTTATTACGGAATATTCCCTCGAGATACAGCCTCCCCCCCCTTTCGGCCGATGACAGGCGACGTGAATTTTGCTGCTGTTCGTGCGCAAATTAAGCGTCACCTGGCGTTGGGGCAAGAATTTCCGGCCCTTTCGTCAGCTATGATCGCGTAGAAAAAAAGTTTCCTGGAAATATTTACACTTGTACAGATCGGGTTTTTCTTTCGAAATTTCGGAGTAAGAATTATGGTTATTGTGACGATCTCATTTGAAATATTCAACAGAATGTCGAATTATCTTCGTTGAATATTGATGCGCATTTATTTTCTTGCAACGCGGCGATAATCGATACGCATAATTTTGAGGGAACTCGAGTATACGAAGAATTATACGGAGTATAATAACTAGAGAGAGAGCTCCGAATTTTCTCTCCTTTCATCGACTAGCGAGCGATAAAAATGCCGACTTTATCATTTGCGTGTGAATAGCGTGAGATATTTATTGCCGTCCCTTATTTATGTAGACGTTCGCTTTTTCGTATTTACGCGATGGCGTTTATGCGACGTGTCGCGTCTCGATTCAAGGTTAGCAAGGTCAAAGAGAATTACGGACTTGTCGTTATCTGACAATAAGCATACTTCTTACTCTCTTGTCTTTTCGAAAAATACATAAAGGACAGTTACTTTTCTCGAGTGCTCTTTAATTCTGTTCCGCGACATTTTATCGAGTATGTCGTTTCTTTTTAATAATTTATATATTTTTGTTATCCGCCAGATGTATAATTATGGCGTATTAATCTTTCTCGTGCTTGATTATATTTCAAAAATCTTGTATGAAACGATATACTAAGAAATATTAGCATCGTATCAACTTGATTCTGGCGCGAATTAATGAAAAATTATATGTTAAATATAGAGATTTTTTTATCTGCTAGATGTATAATTATGAGATATTAATCTCTCTCGTACTTCATATTTTTCAAAAATCTTGTATAAAGCGATGTGTAAGAAATAAACATTATATATACTTGATTCTAGCGCGAATTAATGAAAAATTACATAAATATAGAAATAAATACTGCATTAGAGATTATTTTGTCACTTGAAATATATGTCAGAATAAAGTTGATTCGATCGTAAAATGGAACAACATGTATAATTGAAGAGCACGATATAATTTGTGCAAGGTGTTTAAAAATATATAAAATTATGCTTTTTTAAAACTCGATTTTACAGATTTTAAGATTAATTATTCTTGCTTGAAATATTTCATTTATATTATTTATATGTTTATATATTCATCTCATGTGTTCATATTTGTTCATGTTTGTTATTTACATACATATATTATTATATTGCTACATTTATATGATCTATAAATTATTCCTCGTACGTGACCATGGAAATAACTGAAATTTATCAACCGTCCGCCGAAGAAAATCCCTCGTTCGCCGATATACCTAGTATAGTATTTATTTTACGCAACTACAGTTTACACTAACCCTCCTTCCGCGATCGTGAAAATTCTCTACCGCATTAATTTCGCGATCGCGATCGCGTCGTCCCACTTTTCGTAGACCGTAAGCTGCAGTCTCGTCTGGTTTTCGATTCGTTTCTGCGGTTTCGTGATCGTCCAGCCGACAATGTGTCATTCTCCACGTTCGTATACCCAGATTAGATTTATTTTCGTGCATCGAAGAAATCAACGACGAAGCGATAACCTCTTCCTTTCTCTCCCCCTCTTTCCCCTTCCACGTCTTTTCTGCCTCCTCCTCCTCCTTTTCTTTGCGATAGAAAATCCTCCGGCTGTCTTTCATCCGATTCATATGCGCGGCTCGTGCGCGCGCGATCGTGTAGTCGATTCCGAGCACGGATCGCGAGTTCCGGTTCCTATTCAAGTAGCATCCTCCGTATCCCGGCGAATACATCACTCGTTTTCATCCTTCTGTTCCTCTTCTTCCCGTGTACATACATATCGCGCGTGAATTTTACTTGGCTCCGATCTCCGATATTCGCTCGGACATGGCCGATTTTTCCGATTCATCCGTTTTCATCCACGAGTGCCTCTCCTTATCGCGTTGTTGGAAGAAATGACAGATTTTTACAACAGACAAATTAAATCCCCAGTTAAATCTCCCTTCTATATTCATTATTTCTCTTTTTCCAATCTATTTATTCCCCGCCGCAAATTAATTCCTTTTGTTCCCGCGTCGACAGAGAGATGATGCCGATAGCTCGAGATGACGCTAACGAGCATTTAATTGCGGTTAAATTAACGCCAGCAATAATAAATGAATCATCAGGTTATTACAATGGAAGTTATAAATTAAATTGAATCGAATCTCTCGACGATCGCGATATTCAATCGTGCAGTGTACGATAAGGAAAAAATAATAGGAAATCGATAAATGTTCGAAACAGTTCCGGGATTTGTTTGCTTCTCTTTTTATCATCGATTACACAGAATGGTAGCCATTCGCGTCGCGTTACAGCGTTTCGCGGAAGGAAAATAAATATCCCATTCCCTTCGATCTTATATCGTGTGCGCGCGAAAGACGTACTCGCCTTCTCGGATTCGAGATATCGAAACCTGCGGTTGTCGACCCCGTCCGATACGCCTTGTCGTTTCTTTTTAACGCCGCCGAGAGGTGAAATCCTCTAACGGGATTTGGAGTAAACCATAAAAACGGCGTTGGCGAGGGGAATTGCGGCATTGTGAGTTTCTTTGTTCCGGGTGCGCGCGCGGAAACCTTCGGATTTGCTGCGCTCGAGCCAGAGGAAGTAAACACGCGAGAAACACTCGGACAGTTTTCCTTTTCCGCGGCAAACATTCGGAGAGAAAGAAGGAGAATTCTTCGCTCTTATTCGATTAACGCGAGTCAATGCCTGGAGTCTTCAACTTTTAATTAAAGTCCTCCTCTTCCGGGTGAGATTTTTCATCGAAACAACTACACGTGTTTCTTAAATCTCTGCTACATTTTTATCGAATTTTTGCGAAAAAGCAATTAATGCGCGCGCGCGCGCGAAATTTTAACGGGATGCGGGGACAATTAAAGTGATGATTTACTACTGGATACACCGTGTGCAGAAAGAAGGGAATGTACTTTTCGGCCTTCGTTGACGATCAGTATCGATTTACACGCATATCAGGACGTTCCTTGCCACAGGAAGGTGGGAGGGCACAAAGAAAGCCGAGACGCGTGAATGTTTCTCAACGTTACGTCGCCGGCAGTAACAACAAATTATAAGGCGATATCACGCGGACCTGTGTGTGTGTGTCGGAGAGAAGCCGAAGCGCGTCCGTGTGTGCGTCGTTCGTTTTGTTCGACAGCGGTAATGTCGTCGTAACACGAGAAGATATTGTCCGCCTGACAACGGAGAAGCAACGCGAGCGAAGAGGCGCACTCTTCAAACACGTGATGCGCTTCATTCCAGGCCAGTTCTTTCGTTATAAATATATCAAACGCGTATCACGAGCCTGCATTCCTCTCTCCCTGATAAATATGCCAAATACCAGTTTAATTCTCTTATTGGGGAGATTGAACGTAGTGGAATTTTATGAAAAAGTTAGGATTCTTTTATCTCTTGCTAAGATATAATTTATGAAACACATTTGCAACGATTGTCTCTATCTTTCTCTCTCTCTCTCGAGAAAGAGAGAGAAGGTAATTTCTCGAGAATCATATCTCCTAAGTTTTCAATAATTATTATGTTTAAGAAAATTGTAGAAATAATTGAATTTATTTTTTAAAAAGGATTTTTTTCCTCCTTCATAACGCGATATATGTATTCTATCAGAGACGATAATATTCGGTTCGTCTAGCTCAGATAGTGCTCGTGGTATTCGGTATCTTAATAATTATCAGTAATAAGCAAAACCTATCCATGATCGTGAGGCATACGTTCGATACCTCATCTCGGCCAATCGATCTCAAACGTTCCCTTCACACGGCGCCTTTTTTTCATGGAATTCCGAGCTCTCGAATCTACGAGGATCCGAGGATGCGTTTCGTAATGTTAGTCAGGTAGAGGCAGGCGGGGTCGAGGAGTCGAGGGAGGAAAGGAGGAAGGAGATGAGGTAAAAATAAAGCAAAAGACACAGCAGTCGAGGGTGGTGGCGGTCGGTCGATGATGGGCGAGGGGGTGCGAGAGGCACAGGAGGCAGACCAGGAGAGGGCCCGCGCTTCGAATGGGCGAGAGCTTGAGGCCCGGAGGAAAGAGACGAGCTCCCTCCCTCTCTTTCTCTCTCTCTCTCTCTCCCCCTCTTTCTCTATCTCGCCGGGACTTCTTGTCCCCGACGTTTAATTTCAGGCAGTCCTGCGAGGAGTTCTCGCAACATCTACGCCGCTTAACGTCGGGACACACGGGGGCCTTGGGAAGAGATACCCGCGCGATCAGAGGCCTAGAACCAGTTCTCGCGCCTTAAACCGCCGGCGCGGTTCTCACGCGTCGCGTCTCCCTCCCGCGTCGTCCTCGTCCCGGCCTAATTGGCCCGCCGGGCCCGAATGAGAATCCCTGCGCGATACGCGGTCCGTGCGGCAGGATACCACATGCGGCCGTATATATTAAGAAGAGGCCTGGTCAAGCCTTAACGCGCATTGGCATACCCGCCATTTTCGATTATCTCGCGGCAGTGCGCGGCCGGCAAATTGATAATCTTCCGGCCGGAATATTAAATTTTTTTTTCCCCTCACAGAAACGTAAAGAACTTAATGTGTAACGTAAATAATATGGATGTAGGGGGGATTTTAACGTACAGCGCAACCATTATTTTATTACACTTCGTAC